TCGATTGTGGTGATCAGATCACCAATATTTACCAGGGTCAAGAAAAGAACGGACCGAGATCACAAAAATCTACCACCAAGGCGCAAGCGCGAGCGAGCTCACTTTTGAACAGCCTTGTTGAATGCACCGCACTTTCGAACACCGTGACGAAATGCGGCGGGATCGAATCCGGGGAGGATCCTAGAACACACTTTTGAACAGTGGACGGCAGAGATCACCAGAATTTACCAGAGCCTGAAAATGACGAAAACCTCTAAGACTGAATAGAGTGTGTGGTGAGGTACTGCTAAAAACAAGAGATCTAGAACACTTGATTTGTTCTTAAACTTGAAAATTAGATCCTAAATTTTTAACAGTACCGATTTAGAGAAAGCGCCGTATTCCACTTCTTGAGAGGTGCATACTGCGCTTCGGGCTACAGAAGTGGGGCTTGTGCCGTCCTTGGACAGGGCCGCCAGTGCTTACCGTCCGGCAGCCTCCTGCATCAGATCTAAATGTCTAAACTACCCGGATCTCAAATGTCTCCGAGTTGGATGTGCCAAACCCACCAGTCGACGATACGGTTACGGTGTAAGAGCTCTTGCTGGTATGGTTTGGAGTTGATTTTAGCTTCAGGACGGTTCCGTCAATTTCAAAGGCGTTACCATCTCCGCCTGGGGCTATGCTGTATCTAAGAGACTGGCCGTCAAGGAAGGAGTTTTGTGCCGAAATATTCCCGACTGCCCTAGTGGCGTCGCCATCGTCAATAGAGGTGTCATCAAGTGTGATGTACCATCTGCCCAGATTCTGGATAAAGGAGTCGGCACCGAGGAACATTTCGGACATGTCAGTCACGCCCGAGACGTCCCATTCAGAGATGTCGCCGTTGAAGGAGGCGGCAGCGGCGAACATTTTGGACATGTCAGTCACGCCCGAGACGTCCCATTCAGAGATGTCGCCGTTGAAGGAGTCGGCAGCGGCGAACATTTCGGACATGTCAGTCACGCCCGAGACGTCCCATTCAGAGATGTCGCCGTTGAAGGAGTCGGCGCCGAAGAACATTCTGGACATGTCAGTCACGCCCGAGACGTCCCATTCAGAGATGTCGCCGTTGAAGGAGGCGCCGCCGGTGAACATTCGGGACATGTCAGTCACGCCAGAGACGTCCCATTCAGAGATGTCGCCGTTGAAGGGGACGGCATAGGCGAGCATTCCGGACATGTCAGTCACGCCCGAGACGTCCCATTCAGAGATGTCGCCGTTGAAGGAGTAGGCATGGCCGAGCATTCCGGACATGTCAGTCACGCCAGAGACGTCCCATTCAGAGATGTCGCCTCTGAAGGAGTCGGCGGAGCCGAGCATTCCGGACATGTCAGTCACGCCAGAGACGTCCCATTCAGAGATGTCGCCGTTGAAGGATTCGGCAGCGGCGAACATTTTGGACATGTCAGTCACGCCAGAGACGTCCCATTCAGAGATGTCGCCGTTGAAGGAGACGGCGAAGGCGAACATTTTGGACATGTCAGTCACGCCAGAGACGTCCCATTCAGAGATGTCGCCGTTGAAGGAGTCGGTGAGGGCGAACATTCGGGACATGTCAGTCACGCCAGAGACGTCCCATTCAGAGATGTCGCCGTTGAAGGAGTCGGCATAGCCGAACATTCCGGACATGTCAGTCACGCCAGAGACGTCCCACGAGGAGAGATCGGAGTTGAAGGATCTGGCATTTGAGAACATGTAGGACATGTCAGTCACGCCAGAGACGTCCCACGAGGAGATGTCGCCGTTGAAGGGAGTGGCATCGGCGAACATTACGGTCACGGACGAGACGTCCCATGGGGAGATGTCGCCGTTGAAGGAAGTGGCAGAGCCGAACATTCCGGACATGAGTCACGCCAGAGACGTCCCATGGGGAGATGTCGCCGTTGGAGGAGGCGGCTTGATAGAACATTCCGGACATGTCAGTCACGCCCGAGACGTCCCATGGGGAGATGTCGCCGTTGGAGGAGTAGACATAGCCGAACATTCCGGACATGTCGGTCACGCCCGAGACGTCCCATTCAGAGATGTCGCCGTTGAAGGAGTCGGCATCGGAGAACATTGAGGACATGTCGGTCACACTCGAGACGTCCCATGGGGAGATGTCGCCGTTGAATGATCTGGTATCACGGAACATTCCAGACATGTCGGTTACGCCCGAGACGTCCCATGGGGAGATGTCGCCGTTGAATGATCTGGTATCACGGAACATTCCAGACATGTCGGTTACGCCCGAGACGTCCCATGGGGAGATGTCGCCGTTGAAGGAGTCGGCATCGGCGAACATTGCGGACATGGCGGTCACGGACGAGACGTCCCATGGGGAGACGTCGCCGTTGAAGGAGTCGGCACCGGCGAACATTGCGGACATGGCGGTCACGGACGAGACGTCCCATTCAGAGATGTCGCCGTTGAATGATCTGGTATCACGGAACATTTCAGACATGTCGGTCACGCCCGAGACGTCCCATGAGGAGATGTCGCCTCTGAAGGGAGCAGAGGAGAACATTCCAGACATGTCGGTCACGCCCGAGACGTCCCATGAGGAGATGTCGCCTCTGAAGGGAGCAGAGGAGAACATTCCAGACATGTCGGTCACGCTTGAGACGTCCCATGAGGAGATGTCGCCGTTGAAGGAAGTGGCATGGGCGAACATTCCGGACATGCCAGTCACGCCTGAGAGATCGGGGACATCGGTCGCACGGTACGCCATGTTTGTCGCTCCCCCAAATGCCGAGTTCATCGATTCCCATTGGATGTCGCCCCACTGATCTATAGATTGCAGCTTTTCCGCATTGGGGCTGCCGCTGAGATAGATTCTTGTAAAGTCGCCGGATATGACGACTTGGTACTCTCCAGGACTAGCATAAGCATGCGATGCGTCCCCGGTGACGCTTGTTACGGTTCCATCGCCCCAGTCTACAGTGTATGCTCCCGTAGAGCCCCCCACCGGGATGGTTATCGACTCGTTCGGCGAGGCGGTCCGCCAAGTGGTGACGAACGGCCTGTCGCCCGTTTTGGACGCGTCCGGACTGCCGGTTCCTCCTGCTTTTTCCGATGCTCCTGGCTGTTTTGCCGAAAGATCGTCACGGGGCACCTCGGATAGCAGTACGAATCCGCGCCGTTCCAGCACCTCCACCGATTCTGCAAAGACGCACGCCGGCATACCTGACGGCGACAGCATCAGCATGCGGTCTCCGGCGCACACTATCTCGCCTATGGGTACTCCGTCCCGTGCCTGTCGGTATGGTGAGGGGATCGGCTCGGCCTCCGCAACTGGCACGATGCAGGACATCATGGACATGGCCACGGCAAGACCCAATATCGTTATTTTTTGCATTACAAGTATTGACGGACGATGTCAATTAAAAAGATCGTAAGTTAGGGCCGGGGGAAGGATCCAAAACAAGCCGAATATGGCGTATGGATTCTGACAGGACCGAGCGTCGGAAGCCGTATTTATGTGGCAGTGGATCCCGTATGACAGCACCGCAGAGGCAGGCCCAGAGAAGTACCATATTCCCTACATGCAGCGCTCGAAGGTGATGTTCGGCATACTGCTTACATGCATGGCCACTTGGAGAGAGCGGGAGCTGGATCCCACAGAACAGCTGTTGAAGGCCCCGGGGGGTCGACCTAACCCATTACGCCAGCCCCCGCAGAAGGCGGCTGCAACACATCTTGGAGTGTCTCCGATGGATAGACATTCCGCTTTGGCGGAGCCCGTGGTTAGTCGCAGGGCGGACAGCCACCCCCGGAGATAAAGCATCAAATATGGAAACACACTACTCATAGTATGAAGATAAATCACAAGCTGTTCAGGATGAACCGGAACCTGATCATCTGCCTGCTCGTGTCGACCGCAGTCTCGACCGTGGCGGCTCAGGCGATGGCAGGATACGCAAGCTACATCAACACGACAGTTGCCGTGGCCCTAGGCTACATGGCCTTCTTCGGAACGCTTCCCGTCCTGTTCTGGCGGGACAACAGGAGCCGCTACTCGCAGATGGACCGCAAATCCGTAAGGCATGAGATTGCAAAGGTGATATCGTCCATCGGCATCGGCGAGATCGTCTACTTTGCGGTAATATGGCTCACGCTGTACTACCTCCTTGAGATCGGGATTGAGCCGTATCAGGCGGCCCTGATAGCCAAGGCGGCCGCGTCTGCCGTCTACCTTTCCGCGGTCTCGGTGATCCTCAAGGCCTCCAAGACCTTCCAGCCCGCATAGGACCGGCGGCACCGGGAGCCGGTGCGGTTCCCCCTCGCTCGCCGGCACCGCTGCGGCCGTTCCCCGCAGACTGCCTTCGCGCCACCTCGAAGAGTCCTCTCTTCAGGGACTCCGCATCCCCTCGATGCCGAGGTACTTCTGGAACCTCTCCGTCGTCGGGAACGCCTCGGGCCTGCTGACCTTCTCGTGCCTGACAAAGCCGGGCTGCCCGAGTTCCATAAAATACGGGCACGCCGTGCGGTATGGCCGAGTTGGCAGCCTCCCACTGTCGCGTTTCGTAGCCACATGGATCCCTGCTTTGTTATCCTGCACGTCTTGACGGTCTCCCCGCTGCCTCTCTGCGACGGCGCAATGCCCGCGTATGACACGAGCTTCTCCGGACTGCCGAACCTGTCGATATCAACCACCCCGGCGATGACCGTGAGTGCGGTCACGTGGTTTTTCTGCATCCGACGCACCGCAGGAGAATCTTTGCCCCATACAACCAGACATGAAAGACAGGCAGGCCTCGATAACACAAAGGGATTCAAACGATGCCGGGGAACTCTGTCCTTTGCGGCCGATGGGACGACTCCGTCAGAACTTGCGCCGGATGGAGTGCATCCGTGCTACCGAATAACCAAGATGCCTCATCCACGTTACGACGAAATTCGTACATTTAGACCACAATCACAACGATATTCGTAAAGTATGTTTATATTCCGATGGCCAACCACCGAATTCTGCATTGGAACCGAACCATTACGCCGACATGTACAACGCGGCCGGCGCGGCGCCCAAGAAGATACGCATCCTGGACAGCACCCTGCGGGAGGGGGAGCAGCACCCGGGAATTACGTTCACCAACAAGCAGAGGATACAGATCGCGTGGATGCTGGACTACTTTGGCGTGGACCAGATAGAGATCTCGCCGGTGATATCGCCTGACCACCGGGAGGCCACAAGGACCATCATAAAGCAGGGGCTTGCCGCAGACATCGTCTCCCACGGCAGGGCCCTCAGAGAGGACATCGACGTGTCAATCGACTGCGGCGCCCTGTGGGTTGCCGCATACCTCGGGATCTCAGACATACACCTTGGCAGACAAGCTGAGGATAACCAGGGAGGAGGCGCTAGAAAGGGCAGTAGACACGGTCGAGTACGCCAAGTCGCACGGCCTACACATACGCTTTACCGTAGAGGACGGGAGCCGGGCCGACCCCGGGTTCCTGTTGGAGGTGTGCAGGGCCATAGAGGAGGCCGGCGTGGACCGGATCAGCCTCCCGGACACCGTGGGGATAATGCGTCCTGCCGGCATGTACCGCTTTGTGGAGGGCGTGCGCAGACAGGTAAAGGTACCGCTTGACGCGCATGTGCACAACGACATCGGCCTTGCGCTGGCAAACGCGCTCGCCGCCTGCGACGCGGGGGCAGACCAGATACACACCACGATCGACGGAATAGGCGAGCGGACCGGCATACCGTCCCTGGCAGAGGTCGCAGTGGCCCTGACGTACCTGTACAGGTCTCCCAACGACCTTCGCCTGGACATGCTGCAGGATCTGTCGCGGCTCATCCAGGAGTACACGTCGGTTCCGCCGTACGACTCCAAGCCCATAGTGGGCGAGTGCGCCTACAAGCACAAGGCCGGAACGCACCTTGCCGCAATCCTGAGGAATCCCGCCGCCTACGAGCCAATCCCGCCCAGAATAGTGGGGAACCAGAGGAGGATCGTCTTTGGCGAGCTGGCAGGAAAGACGGGCGCCGCCTACCTCATGGCGCTCCTGGGCCTAGAGAAGAGCGAGAGCGGCGCCAGGGAGGTGGCGGCAGGCCTCAAGGACCTCCGGATGGGCGACATGATAGACATACCCCTGGAGGACAGGCTGGAAAAAAAGATAATTAACGCCCATAATGGACAGGAGAAGGAGTGATAAAATGACCAAATGTGAAGAGTGCGATGCCGACATCACGGTTCCCACAGACGCCTTGGAGGGGGAGATCATAACCTGCGCGGAGTGCGGTGCAAGCTTTGAGCTTGTCGGCACAGGCAGCGGATTTGACCTAAAGCCAGCCCAGACCGTAGGCGAGGACTGGGGACAGTGACGCCGGACGTCACCGTCCTTTACGATTCCATCCGGTGGGAAGAAAAGTCCCTGCTGGAGGCAGGAAAGAGAAAGGGATTAAACATACAGATGATCGACTGCAGGAAGCTGGCCCTGCGGCTGGAGGACGATGTCCCCGGATACGGCACCGTCCTGCAGAGGTGCGTAAGCTACTACAGGAACGTGCACTCGACTGCGGCGCTGGAGGGCATGGGGGCCAGGGTGGTCAACTCCCTGGAGACGGGCATACTTGCGGGAAACAAGCTCTACACGCATATGCTCCTGCAGAGGCACGGCGTGCCGACGCCGCATGCCACCATCGCGTTCTCAAAGGAGGCCGCCCTGGAGGCCATGGACCGCCGGGGCTATCCCGCGATAATCAAGCCCACGGTCGGCAGCTGGGGCCGCATGATATCCAAGCTAAACGACAGGGACGCTGCCGACGGGATACTGGAGTACCGCGAGGCCATGTACCCGATATACCAGGTCCATTATCTCGAGGAGTTCATCAAGAGGCCGCCCCGGGACATCAGGGCGATCGTGGTGGGGGACAGGGTGGTCGCCGCCATATACAGGGCATCAGGCAACTGGAAGACCAACATGGCGCTGGGCGGAACCGCCAGCCCGTGCCCCGTCACCGTGGAGATGGAGGACATGTGCATCAACGCAAGAAAGGCAGTCAGGGGCCAGATAGTCGGAGTCGACCTCATGGAGAGCGACGAGCGGGGGCTTGTGGTCCACGAGGTGAACAACACCACCGAGTTCAAGAACACCGTGCGGGTGTGCGGGGTGGACGTCCCGTCCCTGATGCTGGACTACCTGCTGGGGGAGGCGGCATAGGGGATGGACGGCTTTGCCACCACGCCCCGGTTTGCGATAAAGATGCTTGAGAAGGCGCTCAGGCTGTACACGCCTTCCATGGAGGAGAAGGCCATGGCCGAGTTCCTGGCGGATCGGTGCGACGACCTGGGGTTTGCCAACATCCGCATAGACGAGGTCGGAAACCTGGTTGCCGTGAAGGGATCCGGATCGCCCAGGACACTCCTGTGCGGCCACATGGACACGGTGCCCGGCAAGATCAGGGTCCGGAGGGATGGCGACATGCTGTACGGCCGCGGCGCCTCTGATGCCAAGGCCCCGCTGATGGCGATGCTATTTGCGGCAGCGGCCATCCCGGAGAACAGCGGCACGGTGACGTTTGTGGGAGCGGTGGACGAGGAAGGAAACGCCACCGGCATCAAGAACCTGGTCAACGAGGGCCTGGACATAGACTATGCCGTGTTCGGGGAGCCCAGCGGGCTGGACAAGGTCACGGTGGCATACAAGGGAAGGCTGGCCATCAACCTGCGGGTCAACGTGGGCGACAGCGCGCATGCCAGCGCGCCCTGGCTTGCCAAGAACGCCATCGAGGAGGCCGTCACGTTCACCTCAAGGCTGAAGGAGAGGATGTGCGCCGGGCAGGAGGGCAAGAGGCGCACTATGATGCTGACGTCTGCGCTGACCGAGATCAAGGGCGGCTCAAGCCACAACGTCACCCCCCGGGAGTGCGAGGCCACCATGGACATACGGATACCCGTGGGCGCCAGCTGCAACGCCGTGGAGGAGATGGTTGCAGACACGGTGCGAACGGTGGCCTCAGAGAGGCAGGTGGAGGTCTTTCACTCCATCATAGACGAGACGGAGCCCTTTGAGGCGCCCCTCAGCTCGCCGCTGGTTCGGGCCCTGGGGCTGGGCATCAGGGACGTGGAGAGCAAGCCCCCCACGCTGATCCGCAAGACCGGTACCGGGGACATGAACGTGATCGGCAACCAGATGAACGTGCCCGTGGTGACCTACGGCCCGGGGGACCCCCACATGGCGCACACCATAGACGAGAGGGTGTCCATAAACGAGTACCTCCGGGGAATCGAGGTCCTCAAGAGGATGATACACCATCTGAAGCGCCTCCACCACAGGAGGGCGCGCTCCTAGTGCTCTGGTTTGTCGGGCTGGGAGTCTCCGGCCGCATATCGGCAGATGTTGCAGACGTCCTTGGATCATCAGACCACGTCTACCTGGAGCAGTTCACAAGCCCCGTGGGAGAGCACACGGTATCGGCCATACAGGAGATCACAAAGGGGAGACTCTCTGTGGCAAAGAGGTGGCAGGTGGAGGACGGTTCCGAGATACTAAAGAACGCAAAAGACGGCAGGGTGGCCCTGGTCTCGTACGGGGATCCGATGATCGCCACCACGCACGCGGAGCTGATGACCCGGGCGGTATCTGAGGGCATAAGAACGCACATGATCCACGGGGCATCGGCCGTGACCGCCACGGTCGGCGAGTGCGGCATGCACTACTACAAGGTGGGACGGGTCGCCACAATAATGAACGACGTCAAGTCCGTGGGCACCCCCTACTACGTGATACACAGGAACCTGGTCGAGGGCAACCACACCGTGCTGCTCCTGGAGTACAACCACGAGGAGGGCTTCTTCTTGGGCCCCGGCGACGCGCTGGCGCTCCTTGTCGGGGAGGAAGCGGAGCAGAGGAGAAACGTCATCAGGCCCGACACGTTTGCGGTGGTGGCCTCCAGGGTGGGCACGCCGGAGGCGGCCATAACCGGGGGGCAGATCTCGCACCTTGCGGAAAGGGACTTTGGTGGGCCGCCCCACAGCATCATAATCCCCGGCAGGATGCACTTTACGGAGTCTGACGCGCTCCGGCGGTGGCGGACTGCATCGACGAGCCACTGGACAACTCCAGGAATGCAGAGAAGGTATCCGTCCAGATGATCAAAAAGTACGCCCCCATGATAAGAAAGGCCATCTCAGACGCAGAGCCGTACCGCGCCTCTGCCGGGGCCGCACTCGTGCTGGAGAATGCAGAGTGCTACATGCAGGACGCCATGCGGTTTTTGGAGCAGGGCAAGGACGACTTGGCGGTCCTGAGCATCGGGTACGCCGACGGGCTGCTGGACGCCCTGCGGATGGTCCGGGACGCAGAACCGGGGGGCGCTGCCGCATGACGGGCGGGGTGGGGCGTTGAACGTCATAGACAATGCCGTCCTGACTGCCATGTTCGTCTCGCAGTTTGACGGCAGCGATCCGGTGGCTGCGGTAAGGGCCCGGTGCCGCCTGGACGAGGAGTACGTCAGGGATCGCATAGGCGGCCTCATATCCAACGGACTGGCGGACTCTGACACGGCGCTCAGCGAGCTCGGAAGGAGCTCGCTGCGGGTGGTCCTCGCAGGCGGCGTATTTGACATAATCCACCCGGGGCACATACACACATTGAGGGCGGCAAGAAACCTCGGCGACGTGCTCGTGGTGGTGGTGGCCACATCAGGCACCGCCAAGAAGATGAAGAAGCGGATGCCCCTGCACAGCCAGGACCAGAGAAGGGACCTGGTGGGGGCGCTCTCGACTGTGGACCTGTGCCTGGTGGGAGAGGAGGGCGACATCTTTCGGACGGTGGAACGCGTAAGGCCCGAGGTCATCGCCCTGGGGTATGACCAGATCCACCAGGAAAAGTTCATCACCGACGGGTGCCGGAGGATCGGCCTTGACGTCAAGGTCGCAAGGCTGCAGTCGCCGGTGCCGGAGATCTCAAGCTCCAGGATAGAGCAGGAGTACGGCGACTCGATACACGGCATCTGACGGCCACGCTATCAGCCCACCTGCACGGAGATGGCGACCTCGGAGCCGTCCTTGAGTCCTGCTGCCTCCCGGATGCTCTCCCTTGCGATGATCTCGACGATGGACGGCTCGTGGTGCGTCCTCTCCAGGCGGATGAGGTGGCACGGTATCGTGCCGTTGACGGTTCCCGGAAAGCACTTTACCCACCCGTAGGCCCTCACCCCGTCATGGAACCCGTCGATCATGATGCCGTCCAGGGCGTCAAACTGCCGGCTTGACTCGACAAACTCCCTCTCCTCCAGCCTTACGTTGAGCGTTCCCGGAAACGGGACGTAGCCGATCCTCTTTACGAACTGCCTGGAGTACCCCTTGAGCGACATATAGTAGGCTCCCTCGCTCATGCCTGAGACCAGCAGGCCCTGGAGCTCGATCCTGGAGGGCGAGGCCGCCAGGCTCGCCTGCAGCGTGCCCGATATCTTGAGCAGCTGCGAGTACCCCTCGGGCGTGATCCTGACCGAGATGCCCCTGCCGCTCTTTATGCGCTGGATAAAGCCGTATTTCTCAAGATCCACTAGGTGCTTTGATGCGGACTGCTGGGACCTGCCGACGTTCCTTCCGAGGGACGAGGTGGTGACCGGAACAAAGTTGTGCTCTGCCCCTTGGGAAAGAAGAAAAGAAAGGGTTAGGAGGTGTTGGATCTTTAAGCTTGTCAAGATACACTATACAATACCGAGATCCGCGAATGTCTTCAGGTTGATGCCGCCCTTGTTTGAGAGCCTTGAGAGCCGGTGTCCCACCAGGTACTCGACTCCGGTCTTCTTGGCGCTCTCCAGGAGTCTTGGCGTTATGATGCCGTCCAGTATCAGGTACTTGATGCCCGACTGTCCGGCCATCTTGTTCACAAGCTCGCTGATCGGCACCCTGAAGATCTCGGCCTGCTTGTCGTCTAGCGCGACTGCTTCCAGGGTCTCGTTGAGGTCAGGATATATCTTCCCGATTGCGTCTGCAAGCGGTTTGTCCTTCTTGTTCTTCAACGACGGGGGCTTGCTGCCTTCCTTGATCTCCTTTGCCACCGGTTCCAGAATCTCTGAGATTCTCTGCGGTGTGAGCTCTTCGACCTCGATTCCCGGATCCGCCCGCAGCTCATAGTCTATGGGCACCATGGATTTCAGCTCCCGAAGGATGAACCCGCCGGACCTGTCGCCGTCTAGAAACGCAACCACTGTCGCCTTGGCCGAGCATATCTCCTTTATGGACTCGTCGATTCGCGCTCCCTCGATTGCAAGCGTGTTGTCGTAGCCTGCCCGAAGGAGGTTGATCACGTCGGCCCTTCCCTCGACCAGAATTATCCAGTCCGAGGTCTTGATGCCGGATCCGCAGGACAGCTTTGATGGCCCGTACGAATCGATCTTGCCCGTGCGTCCCTCGTGGACATCCTTGAGTACCGTGTCGCCTTCGCTGACTGCCCGGGTCTTCCACTGCTGCTTGATCTCCTTTGCTCGCTTTGCGATCTCGTCCTTCTTCTTTGCCCTTATGTCGTCGATGGTCTCCATCTTGAACTTGCAGTTAAAGGGCCCGACCTTGTCGATGCTCTCTATGGACGCCGCTATCAGCGAACAGGTGTCGATGTTGGTGCTCATGGGAATGAGTATGTCGCCTGAGGTGGTGCTCGCCGTGGTAGAGAGGATGACCTCTATTCTGCCCACTTTGGAGACGCGCTGCAGCTCGTTTAGGTCATTCTCTGGTCCGAAGAGCCCCTCGGTCTGGCCGAATATGGCACCTATCATGTCGGTCCGTTCTACTAGACCATCGACTTCAAATGATAGCTTAACGTGATACTTGACAATTCCCGATTGAGGCATAATTTATTCATCTCTATTAACGGCAAGAATCTCCCCTATAAATTACATGAGATGGACAGAAATTCCGTTCCCTGATGCGGCATGTTGGCAGGCTTCTCTTCATGCCTGTGCTGTGTAATAGTATATTACAACCGCGGTTTTGTTCGCTTTAATTCTAAAAGAACGTCCCAGTTGGCACATATTGCTTAATACGCACCCGATCGGCAATCCGGCCTGGCCCGTCAGATCCCAGTGGCACTGCCGTGCCCGGCAGAACGGGCGCACCGCAGGCAGGACTGTGCCTGCGGGCCTCTGGCATCCGTGCCACTTCGGCGCTGCCCGAGTCGCCCATGCCTGGTTTGCAGGCGGCACGCGCCTCTTGGATCGCGTGATCCGGGAGGTTTCAGACGGAATGGTGCCCGACTCCCCGCCCTGGCAGGGCGGCACGCCGGGGTTTGAGAGGGTATGCCATTGCATGGCATGCGGGGCCGCATCATTTTCACCCGGGCAGGAGGATTCACGCCAGGGATATCTCACGCCCGGTCCGATGCGGCGGGCCGTCTGGCACCGCATGGCTATTAAAAAACTGGAATTAAAAAGTAGAGAGATGAGGTTGGACTATTCGGTACTAAACGAGTGGCCGCACGAGCATGACTTTGTCACGTTCGGGTTGTTTATCTTGAATCCGGAGCCCATCAGGCTCTCAATGTAGTCGACGTTTGCGCCCCCAAGTGAGTCCTTGCTGTAGCTGTCCACCAGCAGTTTGATGCCTTCTTGCTCAATGACCATGTCGTCCTCGTCTGGCTGCTTCTCAAATCCCATCCCGTAGGAGAGACCGGAACAACCGCCGCCCTGAACATAGACCCGCAGATACTGCGGTTTTTCGGCTTCTTCTGCCATAAACTCCCTGATCTTTTCTGCCGCCTTTGGGGTTACAGTGACCAGTCTCTGAGTTTGTTCTGTTGCCATGTGTGGAGATCCAGGTGCAAATTATAATAATCTTTGCTCTGGTGGGATCCAATCCGGCAGGACTCTGCACCGAGCAAAATGGCTGCCTTTGAACGCATCTTAAATTGCCGGCATGCGTAATGCCGGCAGTTGAACCGGAGACTGATGATCGGGCTGGGCATACTGGCACTGGGGGTCGCCTGGACCGTGTACGGGGCTGTGCAGTTCGATAGGACAAGCGGCATCTTTACGGACAACACCGTCGGGCTTGGCATAGTGACCATTGTGATGGCTGCCTTCATTCTGGGCAAGGCAGCTCTCAAGAAAAAGTAGCAGGCCTACCGGTACCACACAGATATCCCGGGTCAGGGGCGGACACATCAGAACCGTCTTCGGGGTGCAAGGATTTCCCCGGTCGGCGTCAGATCCTGTGGCTTTCTGAAGGCATACGCCATGGCGCAGCGCATCAAGATACGTGCAGGGAAAATAAGGAAGAGTGGCAACAGGCTACTTTGACCTGTTTACAAAGGCCTTCATGCGCTGTTCCCGATCGGGATGGGTGAAGCAGTTTCTCCAGGACAGGAGCTCTATTGACAGGCCCGTCTCCAGGTCTGCGTTTCTGCCGTGGTTGATTGCCAGCTTTGACATCTGTACCCCCATGGACGAGTTGCGCGCGATGCTGTGGGCCATCTTCAGTGCCGTCTCCTGCAGGGACGCTAGGGGCACCACGTGGTTGACGAGTCCGATCTCCCGGGCCTCGTCTGCTGCGATCTTTTTGCCCGTGTACACCAGCTCCTTTGCCTTTGCTATACCCACGATCCTCATCAGCCTCTGTGTTCCGCCCCATCCGGGCGGGATGCCGATGGTGACCTCGGGCTGGCCCAGCTTTGCCGTGTCTGCCGCTACTCTGATGTCGCAGGACATTGCGACCTCGCAGCCGCCGCCCAGGGCAAACCCGTTCACGGCGGCAATCGTCGGCTGCCTTACGGACTCGATTGCGGCGGTAACCCGCTGGCCAAGCCTTGCGTACTCGACTGACTCGTCGGCGGTAATCTCTGACATGTACGCGATGTCTGCGCCGGCAGAGAACGCCCGCTCGCCTGCGCCAGTCAGTATGATGACCTTGATGTTGTCGTCCCGGCCAATCCTCTCAAAGGTGTCTATCAGCTCTAGGGCCACCTCGGTGTTCATTGCGTTGAGCTTGTCCGGACGGTTTATCGTGACTGTGCAGATGCCGTCGGCCTCCGATGTTGTGACTACTGTCATGAACTAGCCGGAATGTGGCCGACTTAAAGGTGTAGCGAAGGAACTACTTTGAGAACTTGCCCCACTGGGCAAGTGCTGATGCCGCGGCGGCCCAGTCCCTCAGGTCGTCATACACCGGAACCCCCCTCTCCTCGATCATCTTGGAGACCTTGTTGGTGTATGGGCCCCCGTTTGCGCCCACCAGGAGCGGCTTCTTCCTGTTGGAGAACTCTGCCAAATAGTCTATGATGACCTCCCCGAGCGGATCGTCCTGGAACACGAACCAGGGCATCACGACGTCAACGCCGGAGTCGCCCATGAACGTCTCGATCACAAACCTGTAGTCGTCTGCACTGGCGCCGCCGGTGACGTCAGCGGGGTTTCCGTTGCCTAGGACATAGGTGGGCGGAAAGTGATCCTTCATGCGCTTGAGGGACTTTGCGCTCACGCGGGCAAGCTTCAGGTTCAGCCTGTCAAAGTGATCCATGGCGCCGATCATGGGGCCTGCGCCGTTGCTGGTCATGGACACCCTGCTGCCCCTTGCCGGCGGCTGCCATGCCAAGGCTTTTGCGACTGCGGCCAGTTCCTGGTAGCTGTCAACGGAGATGATTCCCGCCTGCTTGAATGCGCCCATGATTATCGCGTTTGAGCCGCCCAGGGAGCCCGTATGGGATGCCGCCTGCTTTGCGCCCAGCGCCGTCCTCCCGCTCTTCCATATGACCACGGGCTTGTTCTTCTCCCGCATCACCCTCTTTGCCGTATTGATGAACTTGCGGCCGTCGCCGAACCCCTCCACGTACAGGACGATCACCTCGGTCTGCGGATCGCTTGCCAGGTACCAGATCATGTCGGCCTCGTCGACGTCAGACCGGTTGCCGTAGCTGACCATCTTGGACAGGCCAAACGAGTCTGCGGTCTCGAGGAAGCTGATTCCCATCGTGCCGCTCTGGGAGAGCAGGGCCACAGGGCCCAGCCTGGAGCGGATCATTCTCTCCTGGCCCTGGAACGCGCAGTCAAGGCGGTTTGCCGCATTGAACATGCCGATGCAGTTTGGGCCGATTATCCGGATATTGTGCTTCTCTGAGAGGCGCTTTACCTGTGCCTCATAGTCAGCCCTCTTGCCGCCGAGCTCCTTGCCGCCGCCGGACACCACCACCACGTTGTGAACCCCCTTCTTTGCGCAGTCCTCAAGGACGGGCGGGGTCACTGAGAGGTCGACTGACACCACGACCAGATCCACAGGATCCGGTATGGCGGTAACCGAGGAATAGCACTTTAGATCGAATATCTTGTCGGCCTTTGGGTTGATCGGGTACACCTTTCCCTTGTAGTCGTAGTTTGCCAGGCTGTCCAGTATCGAGTTTCCGATCTTTCCCTTGGTGGTAGACGCGCCGACTAGCGCCACCGAGCTTGGCGTGAAGAACTTTTCCATGTGGTCTGCGTTGGGTTTTGCCCGGGAGACGGAGTTCTTCTTTATCTCCGGGTTCAGTATGATCTTGGCATCAACCACAAAGTGGGATCCCGGATAGACCACCACCGGGTTAAAGTCCACGCTGTTGATATAATCTGCATTCTGCATGCCCATCTTTCCTATCCGGACCAGCATCTTTGCTGCCATGTCAAGGTCGATGGGCTCGCTTCCCCGGAATCCCTTGAGAAGTACCGAGCCCTTCAGCTCGTTTAGCATCGATTTGGCGTCAGAGGCGGTGATCGGAAGCATCCGAAACGCCACGTCCTTCATCACTTCGGTCATGATCCCGCCCATGCCCACCATGATTACGGGGCCGAACTGGGGATCGTTTTGCAGTCCGACGATGAGCTCGACGCCCTTGGGAACCATCTTCTCCAAAAGGATTCCCTTGACGTCAACGCCCTTTTGTTTTGAGAGCCTGCCGTACATGTCGTTGAAGGTCTTCTTCACGTCCTGTATCTTGCCTATGCCGACCTTGACTCCGCCGACCTCGGTCTTGTGCAGGATCTGCGGGGAGACCACCTTCATCACCAGGGGAAAGCCGATCTCCTTGGCCGCCCTTGCGGCCTCTGCCGCAGAGGTAACAAGGGCATAGGGCGGGACGCTCACGCCGTACTCGCGCAGGATTGACTTTGACAGCTCCTCTGTGATCACCTTGTGATCCGTGTTGATTACATCCTCAAAAATTTCTTTTACCTTCGACATCAGTCAACCGTTCAAAAAAATCAGTCTGTATATTAAACTTGGGGATAGGCGGTTGCGGCGGCGGGCGCGGGTGCCAGGTGCAGGAGGGACCGCCGCGGCGCCAGAAAGGGGATCGGGTCCTGTTGCCCGGGCATTGTGGCTCCCGGCGTGGCAGGCGGCCCCGCGCTGGTCTAGGAGGGATCCGGATTCAGCAGGGGGAACTTTTTTGCCGCGGCCCTCTGGTATACCGAGAACGTGTCTGGCATCTCGGAGCACTTTCTGCATATGCAGATATCAGACACCGACTCGATGTCGCAGTCGTCCCGGAACTCGCACATGCCGCAGCCCGCAGGCCCGCCGCACACGATGCACGCAAGCGCCTTGGCCTGCACGCACCCCTCGTGCCGGACGCCCACGCCACGCGCCCACATTCCCGTCTCGTTTGCGTTGACCTTCTCGCCGCACACCACGCAGTCGCCGGGAAACCTGATGGTCATCCTAACCCAGCTCACGCCCTTGCCATCTCCTTTCTCAGCGCGGACTCGTGGGACTCGTCCAGCCCAAGATCCAGGTGCCCGCCCTTCATCATGTGCAGCATGTATGGCAGGCAGAGAGTGGCGATGGTGCTGCGGGACGTGTGCATCGCCTCTGCCAGGATGCCGGAGACCGACCTTAGCTTCTTGCCGTCCCATATGATCCGGTTCAGGACGGGCCAGGAGAGGTTGTACTTTGCGTACCCTATGTTTGTGCCGGGCAGGTACACCCTGAGCAGTATCTCGTTGAGGTACCGCAGCAGGCGCCACTGCCGCGTTCGGATTATCCTGCCATACAGCATGTCGGCCTCGGAGATCGCCTGCAGCATCGTGCTCCGGGCCTCGGGCCCGATGCCTGCCATCACGATGCTGGAGTAGAAGGCGTTTATCTTCTCCCGCGGGTCAGAGCCTATCGAGTACAGGATGCGCCGCGCCTCCTCGACGGACTCGGCCTTGAAGAAGGCGGCAACTCCCGCCTCTACGTTTAGTGTTCCGTGCGACTTGCCGGTATCGGGGGTGAATCCCGTCTCCAGGGACTGGGCCAGGTTCATCATGGAGCGTATGTCGCCTCCGGACCTGTTGATTACCTGTATGATCGAGCCCGGGCCGAGCTCTGCATTCTCTTTCTTCAGTATGCCCCGCAGGTAGACGCGGAGCAGTCGCGGCGACAGCTTCTTGAAGTAGACCGTGGTTACGGCCTTTTTGATGCCCCTCATCTTGTTTGAGGCGTCCGAGTTTGCCGCCAGTATGATCGGCACCACCGGGTTCTTTAGTATCTTGATCAGCGCCTCGGCGCCGCCAAAGTCTGACCGGCCATGGATTCCGTCGACCTCGTCGATGAATATCAGCGGGGATCCGAGGATGCCGACGTTTCCCAGCACCGGTTCGAGGATCTCGCTGATCTTTGACTTGCTCCTGACGTCGCTTGCATTGAGGCCGATCATGTCATACCCAAACTGCGGCGCGACCAAGTTTGCAACGGTGGTCTTGCCCGTTCCAGGCGGCCCCACAAGAAGAATGGGCCTTGTTCCCTTCTTCCATTTTGCAAGCCATCCGACCAGAGTGGCCCGGGCCTCCTCGTTTCCGACCATGCCAGAGACAGAGCCCGGCCGGTGCTTCTCAGACCACATCACGGCACATCACCGCGGGAGGCCGGACTCGAACCTGGACCAGAGGTTGGCCTTTGCGAGTTTTTTGTGCCAGAACCGGTTGTAGTGGTCCACGGTAAGAAACAGAAACTCCAGAAACTCCCGGTGGGAGAACCCGTCCGGCAGAAGATCCAGCGCCAGCCTGGCGTCCTGCAGGTACAGCTCGCTCTTTTGCAGGGTGGTGTCAAACCCCTTCCTCACGTCGCCGGCAAGGAGCGAGTAGTAGAGCGGCCAGGACGGAACCTTGACCATGCCGTTCTTTATCGAGTCCTCGATCTCGTTTCCGCAGCCCACGCCCTCGGCCGCACGGGCCATTCCGAGGTAGAATATCTCCCCCAGGGGCCTCTCCGCCAGGGCCATGTTGCGGCCGGCAGTCCCCATGACGGCGCGGTACTTTTTGTAGCAATAGTCCATCTCCTCCTCGGTGATCGAGGTGGGCCGTGACTTGAGCAGGGCATCCATGCGCTGGCCGTCCAGGGCGTCCCTGAACCCCTCCTCAAACGCCTTTAGCACCTGCGGGCCGCCCCGGGATATCCTGTCCCTGGCCAGCACCAGTATGTATGGAACCATGAGCTTGTAGTCGTCGAGGTACTCCAGATCCTCGTCCCGGTCCACTATACGATCCATGGGCTCGCTCAGGTCTATCGCCATTATGTGGCCGTCCACCATGTCCTGCCTCATCTGGGCATCCTGCTCGCCTGCGTGCCCGGCGGCCGCGTCATACAGCGCGTTGAATACGGGAAACGTCATCTTGACAAAGTTGGAGTTTAGTATCCGCATTACGCGATCCTGCATCACGTCCGCGCTCTCCAGCTTTGATCTTATCGATGCGGCCTCTGATGCCGGCAGCGCCATCTCAGAGGAGCCGATCTCGTCTGCAAAGACCTGCTGCGTGTGGCCCGGGTTGGGGTCTGCCTTGATCGCCTTTAGCAGGTCTGACGCAAACCGCCTGGCAAACTCTGGAAACTCGCGCTCTGCCTCCTCCTTGTATCTGGTAAACAGCTTGAAGCCCTTTGACTTGAAGAGCCCCTGCCGCAGGATCTGCTTTCCCGGCTTTGTGCTTGCCAGGGCCTCACGACTGACCACAGACGGATCTTTTCCGCTCACACAGCCTCAGATGCCAGCTTGTTATTTATGCGTTCGATGTTCCTTGACTTAAATAACAAGGGACGGGAAATTGTCCGTGGAGACTGTGGAGATCCTGCGGGAGGCGGCCGCAAGGGTGTATGAGAATGTCCGGGGCATGGCCGGCACCGCGGATGCCGCAGGCGATTTTGGAGTGGGTGCCGGGGGGGACATCTCCCGGAGAATAGACATAGTTGCAGAGAAGACCGTACTGGACTGCCTCAGGGAGAGGAATCTTGACTGCACGGTCCTGGGCGAGGAGTGCGGGCGCGTCAGGCTGTCAGAGAGTCCCAATGGTTTTGTGATCATGGACGCGATAGACGGCTCGGCCAACGCCGTAAGGGGCGTGCCGTTCTTCTGCTGCTCCCTTGCCTTTGCCACACACGACAGGCTCAGCTCCATAACGGATGCGGTCGTGGCAGACCTGACAAACGGCGACCAGTACTGGGCATCGGAGGGGAAGGGCGCGTATCTCAACGAGGAGCGAATCCGGACTCACGGCGCCGATCCGATCTACAGGATTGTGGGCATAAACACGTCGGGCCTCACGCCGGGCATGATGGAGAGGCTGCAGCCCGTCTTTGAGCAGCACAGCCACAGCCACACCCGGCACTTTGGGGCAAACGCCCTGGAGATGTCCATGGTGGCATCGGGCCTGATGGACATCCTCATAGATCTGAGGTGCAAGATAAGGGTGCTGGATCTGGCTGCAGGGTACCTCATAGTAAGGGAAGCCGGCGGGCTTGTGCTGGACGGGAACCTGGATCCCCTGGACTCGGATCTCGAGTACACCACCAGGCTGTCCTTCTTTGCTGCGGCAAACCGGAAGATCCTGGACGGCATCATGGCGCAGATAAACCGGCAGTAGAGTAATTGTGGCGCCCTTGGCGGGATTTGAACTCGCGTCTCAGCCGTGACAGGGCCGAATTCTGGACCTGGCTATACTACAAGGGCTCAAAATATCCCCGTAACGATTCAAGTTTAAAGTTTTCCCAACATGCCCGCTCTAGGCTTGGGATTTGCCGGCGCGCATCAGCATCCAAGCAGAGACTGAGCCGACCTTGTGTGAAGGACTGTGCCATCAGATTCGTGCCCGCGGGATCCGGACACGGTGCCACGCCTTCAGGAATGCATCCGCAAATGTGTCACGACAGGCTCGGACACTGGCAGGCAAGATGCGCGCCAGGCCGGGTAAGAGATCCAGACAGCATAAAAGGTCATGGGCCGCCCTACAGATCAAATATCTGATTGCACGCGGCACACTTTGCCTTCTCTTGTCCGGTCTGCCCTATGACGAATATGCGGCCGATTGTGTTGCACATTGGGCACATTCCCGTAGTCACGTTCTTTGGCCCTGTTCTGATAATCTTCTGGGTCTTTCGTCGTCCCATGGACACCATGGCACATCTAGATTATATTAACTCTAAGCTGAAGCGGGGAACAGATATGGCGCGGGGAGGGGGATTCGAACCCCCGTGTCCTTGCGAACATGGGATTAGCAATCCCACGCCCTACCAGGCTAGGCGATCCCCGCACACAACTGCCTGAATTGCATCTGTAAATAAATTCACTCTTCGCCAAAGCGGGTATAGTTTCGGACGATGTCCTCGATGGGCATCCGCTCACCGCCCACAATCTTCAGGTCCACCTGGATCTTCCTGTCCTCGACGGTCACTATGTTGTAGGTGTTAGCAAAGAGGCCGCGGACGCGCTTGGACGTGGCGGTTCCGGCGTTGACGATCTCCAGGCTGCCAAAGTTCCATATCCAGGGCCGGTGCTTGTGGCCGCAGAGGACCAGGTCCACGTCGGTGGCAAGTATGGTCCGGAGCACGTCGCCGGCATCGATCACCGTCACCATGTTCGAGCCCGTGTCTGGTATCTCGATCAGGTGGTGGTGCATCGCCACTATCTTGACGCGATCAGAATGTTCCCTCATGGTCCGCTCAAGCCAGAGGTTCTGCCTGTACCCCACCTCGCCCTGGTTGCGGTCTGGCCTGGCGGTCCCCAGCGTCACCAGCACCACGCCGCCGCCCAGATTGTTTACGCTGTTGAACGGAAAGTACTTTTTGAAGACCAGGTAGCCGGTGTTCCTGTAGTCGTGGTTTCCGCTCATCGGTATGATCTTCTTTGCGTTAAACCTGGACACGAGATCCCGCGCCATCTCGTACTCCTCGATGAGCCCCTCGTTTGTGAGGTCGCCGGTAATCACTATTGCGTCCGGCTCAAGCCCGTTCACCTCGTCCACAACCCTGTCAAAGACATGCGGCTGGAACTGGGATCCCACATGGATGTCGGACAGCTGCACCAGCATCATTACAGCACGATCGTCCACAGCGTTAATAAGTTCAGTCTAAATGGAGGCTGTGTCCTATGAATAAAAGCCACCACTCCCTGCATGGTGACTGAGGCACCGGGCCCAAGCCTCCCGGCCCCGCGCAGAATCAAGCGGTCATCGCCGTCTGACCGTGCAATGTAACGACATTGCAAGCCCTCCATGGCATGCGTAACCGGGGCACCTAAAACACACGACATGCGCGGTGCGTAAAATTCCTCACCGCCGGCACAAAAAATTACCCTCGACATGGCGTGGCACGTTATTTAGCTTCATGAAACCGATCAGTTACATAAGGTTCCTTTTTTTTTATCCCGCTGTCCGTGATGCCATAACAGGCCGCCCGTGTCTGGGAGCATCGTTTGAGCCAAACCTGTAGATTCTGCACAGGTCGATCTATTTTTGCCGTCCGACGGCGCATCTGCCGGACTGGTCTCATGTTGACGCGGCAATGGCCGTCAAGAGTGCAGGATATCCCCGCCATCATGCAGTCCCGGCTTGCCGCCACTGGGGGCCGGGCACTGGTGCAGGTATTCCGGACTTGAGGACACGCAGTCTAGGTAGGTATAATAGTGCCTGCTGGTCTTTTAAAGTTAATTGTCCAGATACGAGTCTCCAAGAGTCAATGCCGGTGCGGCAAAGGTGGTCTTAATAGTGCTCATCGTACTGGTTGTGGTGGGCTTGGTGGCTGCTTCTTCGGTAAAGATTGTGGATGCCGGAACAAGGGGCGTCCTGCTTCACTGGAGTGCGGTAGATCTGACACAGCCGCCACTTGAGGAGGGCTTGCATTTTGTGACACCATTTGCCGATGATGTCATCAACATAGAGGTTAGGACACTCAAGTATGAGAAATCTACAACGGCTGCCTCCAAAGACCTGCAGACTGTCAGAACCACAGTGACCGTAAACTATCACCCTGAGAAGGAGATGATCCACTACCTCTACAAGGATCTGGGACTTGACTATGAGAACAGGGTCATCCAGCCGGCAATCGAGGAGACAGTCAAGCAGGTAACTGCCAACTATAACGCAGAGGAGCTCATCACAAAGAGGCCGCAAGTAAAGGCAGACATCCAGGACGAGATCACCGACAGGCTCAACGCGTTTAACCTGGCAACAGAGGTAATCTCGATTACGGACTTTGAATTTTCACTCCTATTCTCCCAGGCAATAGAGTCAAAGGTGGAGGCAGAGCAAAAGGCATTCAGGGCGGAGAACGACCTGTTAAGAATCCAGGTTGAGGCGCAGCAGCAAGAGGCCCAGGCCTTCGGCATCGCAAACGCCAACATTGCGGAGGCAGAGGGAGAGGCAAAGGCGATCAGGATCATCAACCAGGCCCTAGCAGAGAACCCGAACTACCTGGAGTGGTTCAAGACACGGGCATGGGATGGAAAGCTGCCGCTGGTGGTCGGCAGTGGCGGAACCCCGTTCATTCAGATACCTGTTACCCCGTAACGCTGGGGAATTGCATGCCATGAACGATACAAATAGTAACAGTTCGGTCTCATGAAGCAAAATCGCGCAACTTGAACAAGAATTATTCTGCGATACATGTGCCTTGTTCGAAACATATTTAGCTGAGAGTATTTTCTGACAAGGCGTGAACCTCGGACTTGATCCGACTCGAGTAGATTGGAACGATCCCAGCGTAGAATACTTGCTGAAGTACTTTAAGATGACAACGACTGATCGTGATGACAAGCTTGAGTCACTGATGAGATCAAACAACCAGATGGCATCTGAAAAAGAACAGATGGCATCCAAGAACAAGGAACTGGAAGAAGGGTGCTCGCACCTTGAGGCAAAATGCGGCAGACTCATCGAAATGTACAACAGATTGCTTGACGGTGCCGGCAACGGCGTCGCCTCTGGCAATCCCCCGGAAGATCCTGACGCAGGATCCAAGACGACGCCCAAGCAGCGCCCCGAAGGTGGCAGGAAGAGCAGCTACAACGTGAGGGAGCTTGCCGGATATCCCCGGCCCAAGCCTCCTGCAAGAAGCGAGAATGGTCATCTACGGAGAGACCACGTGGTGCACGAGACGATGACTGCAGACGAGCTTGCATGCCGCAAGTGCAGATTCACGCCATCCCGGCCCACGGCCACGTACACAAAGACCACCGAGTATCTGGTGGATCGCCAATGGCAAGAGGCAGCCCGGGTGATCACGCGGAGGTACTGCAAAAAGTGCCGCAGGCAGCAAGCGGCCCGGACCGGGGGCGTCCTGCCAAACGAGCACTACGGGATAAACGTCATGGCCCAGACAGTGACACTGCGGTGCATGATCGACTCGTTTGAAAGGATCCGCAAGATATTCCACATGTTTCACGGGGTGCTCATCCCAAGGTACCTGGTAGAGTTAAATTATGACCCAGGATACCCGTGGTAAAATTGTCAAAAAAGGCCGTGGTGATGCGGGGCGACGGAATTGGCCCCGAGATCGTCGATGTGATGCTCAGGATACTTCGGGACTGCAACCTGCAGTCGGAGATCATCATGTGCGAGGCGGGATCAGAGCAGTGGGACAGAAACGGCAGAAGGGACGAGTCGTACATCCCAGACGGGACCATGGACATGCTAAGGGAAGTCGACGCCTGCTTCAAGGGGCCCACCACGACCATTCCGGTTCCCGGAGCCCCCAGGAGCGTGGCAGTCACGCTGCGGCAGAAGTTTGATCTGTACGCAAACATACGGCCCACAAGAACCTACGACAGGCTGACCCCCAACACAAGGCTGGACTGCGTCTGCTTCAGGGAGGCCACGGAAGGCCTGTACGCTGGCGTGGAGGCCAGGATCACAGATGATGCGGCAATCGCCATAAGAAAGATCACAAGGAATGGCTGCAGGAGGCTGATGGCCGCCGCAGCAGACTGGGCCAGGCAGCGCCACATGACAAAGTTTGTAGCGATCACAAAGAGGAACATCCTCAAGCAGACCGACGGCATATTCTGGGAAGAGGCGCAGCGCGGCGTAAAGGACGTGCCCGGCGCCCGGATTTCAGAGATATACATAGACAACATGGCGCAGCAGATGGTCGTGGCGCCAGAACAGTTTAACGGCGCGGTGCTGGTCAGCACAAACCTGTTCATGGACATAATCTCGGAGCTCGCGTCTGGGCTGGTGGGCTCCATCGGGCTCATCTACTCGGCAAACATCGGCGACTCGTACGCCATGTTTGAGGCGGCCCACGGCAGCGCGCCCTCCTTTGCGGGGCAGAACCGGGTCAATCCCACGGCCGCCATACTCTCCGGGGCGTGGATGGCCGAGTACCTGGGCGAGGCGCCGGTGCGAGACGCCATATTTGAGGCGACAGAGCGCGTCATCAACGAGGGAAGGTATGTCACGTTTGACATAGGCGGAAGCGCCGGAACCGACCGGATGGCAAGCGAGATATCCGCAGTAGCGCAAAAGCTGCTAAGAAGATAGCCGGGCCTCCACCAGGATCAGCTCCTCAAAGAAGAGCCTCTTTTTTGCAAGTATGCGGGTTCGCATCCCCAGCCCCTCGGTCTGCCGGATCAGCCCGGGATAGTCTGACAGGGACGAGGTGACGAAGAGGAGCCTGCCGCCGGGCTTGAGGCGCGGGACCGCAGACCTGATCATCCGCAGCGGCGCCGGAATCCCGCCGGACCCGCCGTCGGTCGCAACGTCTAGTATCACATCCGTGGCAAGGTACGGCGGGTTGCACACTATGAGGTCAAACCGGCAGGAGAGTGCATCGGCGCCGCTACAGCACACCAAGTTCTCCGTCCTGTATGACTGGTTTTGGAGGGCGTCAAGGTTGATGTCCGTCCCGACCACCAGGTCAAAGGATCTTGCAAGCGTTCGCGTGAGGTATCCCGAGCCGCTGCCCATGTCTAGCGCGCGCTTCCCTTGCAGGCCCAAGATATGATCCTCCAGAAAGAAGGTGTCCTCTGCGGGAAGGTATGCGTCACCTGATCGTCTCTGCAATCCTGACTATCTCCTCGTCGGTAAGCTCGTCAAGCCTCTGGCTGCCCTCATACTCGACGCCAAACTCCTTCAGGATGTTCCGCACCGTCTTTCTCCTGTGCGAGAACAGTCGGTTGATGGCAGATACCATGTCCCGGGTGGCGCGGTTCCTCTGCGTGACCCTGAGTACCACAGAGTCCACCTCCGGCGGCGGTTCGAACCCGTCCCCGGGGACGCTGTGCAGGGCCTCCATGTCAAAGGCCCAAGAGGCCAGAACTGAGATGGCCCGGCGGTCCCGGTCCTTGGCGGTCAGCTTGTCGGCAAACTCCTGCTGAACCATGATGATGGCCTTGGAGAACTCCTGTCGGGAGAGCCACTCCACAGCCCTGCGGCTCTGTGAGTAGGGCAGGGCCGAGACGAGTATGTCAAATGATGCATCATCAGAGAACCCGTCCCCGCAGACAAGGTCCAGGTTGCCGGGGTTTGGCTTGCTCTTCAGGCACATGTACAGGTAGCGGTCCAGCTCCACTGCGGTCACCTTTTTTGCGCGCCTGCAGATGTGGCCTGTGAGCTCCCCCCTGCCGGGCCCTATCTCCAGCACCGTGTCCTGGTCCGTTATGCCTGCGGCATCGACTATGCGCCTGGCGGCATCGTCGGATTTTAAAAAGTGCTGGCCCAGTCTTCTCCTCTTCATCTCTTGACGAAGAGGTTTATTCTTGTCTCGCCGCTGATCTCTTCCATGATTCTCTGCGAGATGTGCTTTATGGGCTCCTTGAACCCCACCCTCTCGTACAGCTCGTCAAAGCTCTCGAACTTTTTCTTCTCCCGCTCCTCCAGCATGGTCTGCATGTATGTCTTGCCGATTCCCGGAATGAGATCCAGAGCGTGGATTCTCGGGGTCAGCGGCTGGGCCGTATTGAGGTATTCGATGAACCGCCCCTCATTCTCGGTCACTATCGTCTCCACTACGGATGGAAGCTCGCCCTGCGCCGCGTGGGATATTCTCGAGTACTCGATCTTGCCCAGCACCGACTGGACCTTCTTTCGCCCCTCCTTGCCTATGTAGATCTTCTCGCCCATCGTAAACGTCGAGTTTTCGGCTCCCAGGATCTCCAGCAGCGTAAACCTGTCCTCCCCGATGGCGGTGACGATGATCCCCTCTCGCCCCCGCACGGTAACCGATTTGGCCCTGGGGTTGAAATCCAGCACATAAGCCCGCTCCTCATACCGCCTAGGTGGCATGTGTACTCTCTGCAAGCCCACATCCGCCGCCTAAGAGTTCTCCTTGAGGATCTTTAGTATCTTTTCAAGCGTCTCTGCAAGGATTAGCTTCTTCCAGCCAAAGGTAAACGAGCGCAGCTCAGTCATCGTGGTGGGCAGTATGTTCACTATCTCCACTGCCTCTTCCTCGGTCAGGTCGCACTCACCCACCAACCGCTGCATCATTACTTTTGCGCTGTCGTGATCCACCTTGCCAAACTTGGAGACGTAATCAAACGTCCAGCGCTGTATCTGATCCATGGAGTCAGGCTCGTTCCTGCCCAGTATCTCCTTTACCACCGATACGGGCACCGGTTGCTTCTTTTTTACCTCTTCCATCTCTCATACACCAAACGGTTTGATATGGTCAAGCCTAGTGATTAAGGTTTTCGGCTTGGATCCCAGCTTTACGTTCAGGGTTACGGCCCTGCGGCCGACTGCCATGACTATTCCCACCTTGCCGTGGTACCGCCTGTGCGGAAGGCCCTTATGCTGACGCGGGTCGATGATCACAAGTGCCCGATCCCCCAGGTGGTACTCCTGCATCAGGAACGACACCCCGCGAGGATGCTTTTTGGTCATCAGCGATCTGGACTTGTGCCTGAAGCCGTGGGATCTGCCCGAGGGCTTTTTTGTGGTCATACCTGTGTTGGGCGCCCCGAACCCTATTTTAAGACTTTGTGGCCTTTCAGTCAGACAAATGTCTGGCTGCGCCCGCAGTGATGCGCCAAGCCGAATCAGTGGCACCCGGGGACAGGCATAGCCCGCACACTTCGGCTCGCGCCTGCGCGCAAACAAAGGCAGGGCAGCCGTCCGGGATGGGCGCCTCCCAGAATTTTGGTGGTTGCTTTGAAAAAAAAATGGGACAAGTGTCCCATGGGTGGTTATGATCGGCATCTACTCGAGGTCGTCCGTGTCTGGAATGTCGTCGGGTGCGTCATTTGATTTTGCACCCTTGGGTGCCTTTTTGGCAGTCTCCTCTGCTTTGATGGCTTCCTTCTCGAGTTTCTTCAGGTGATCCTCTGTGTCTTGCACGCCTTTCGCGCCAAGCTCAAAGACCTCTTCAGATGCTGGGTGGTGCGGGCTGTCAATAATCTTGGCAACTCGCTTGTTCTTTCCGCCTTTTCTAAAGTAGATCCTGTACGTGCTTGCGTGCCCCACGATGTTGCCACCTACGGGCTTTGTGGGATCCCCAAAGAACGTGTCTGGACTGGTCGAGACCTGATTTGTTGCCACAACGGCACAGTTGTACATCTCTGCAATCCTTGCCAGCAGTCGTATGTACCTTCCAAGCTTCTGCTGCCTGTTTGCCAGTGTTCCACGCCCCAGATACTCTGCTCTGAACAGTCCGGTTGTGGAATCAGACACGATCAGCTTGATGTTCTCTTCTCGGATTATCTTGCCTGCCTCTTCCAGTATGAGGACCTGGTGCGCGCTGTTGTATGCCCGTGCAACAATTATGTTGTCCAGGGCCTTGGAGGGATCCATGTTGTGCACCTTTGCGATCTCTATGATCCTCTCGGGACGGAACGTGCCTTCGGTATCGATGTACAGCACGCCTCCTGCCAGTCCTCCCTCTTCCAAGGATTTCTGGACCGTTACGCAGAGGGCGTGACAGAACTGTGTCTTTCCACAGCCAAACTCGCCGTACACCTCGGTTATTGCCTGGGTCTCTATGCCGCCCAAAAGAAGGCTGTCAAGGGAATCGGTTCCGGTGGTTATTCGTCCGATGGACTGCCGCTTTTTGTAGATCTCAGACGCGGACGCAAAGTCCTTTGTGATTGCGCCGGTATCTACAAGATGCCTTCTTGCCAGGGCGACTATCTTGCCGCATGTCTCCGTGGTCATGTTTGAGATCTCCTCAAGCTCTACTGGTCCTCTGACGACTATATCCATCAGGTTGTGAACCCCTGCGTCCTCTAGTCTCTTTTTGGTTACTGGTCCTACCCCGTCAAGGTCGGACAAGTCGAAGTTATCAACACTCATACAGTATGGTACGGTACTGCACATATAAACATAACGAAAGAGTTAGTGTGTTGCATAATTCCCCCTGCTCGCTTAGAACATGCACGAGCCTTGCATATTTTGGACTACACCACACCTGCCCCCATGTCTACCAGCTTGTTGTACGTGGCCACCTTGATCCTGACTTCCTGTACCATGTTCTTCCACTTTAGCGAGTACAGGTGCTCGCCGAACATCCGCTTGAATGCAGAGAACACGATCTCCACCAGCCATCTCTTGCCGTACTCGACCTTCTTTTTCCATTCCTCCCCGAAGCGCCTTTTCTCGTCGTCTGACATCTTCCACACGTGGCTGTCAGCAGATCCGCCAAGCTGCTTCCTGACTGCGATCCCCCATGCGTCGCCGGTTCCTTTCCCGCGCGCCGTCGAGTTTACCCTGAGCTTGATGCGTGAATCCACGCCACGATCCCCGCATGCAGTCACGTTGCTTCTGGAAGCGTAAGCGGCATCCCCGTACAGGCAGCACCCTGCGTCTGCCGGCCCGGCGGTGGAATCCTGCGCCTGGCCTGTCCGCATCGCAGCCTCCAAGGCCTCGTCAAGCAGCGGAATGAGCATCGGCGAGTCCCCGGTTCTGTCGTCGGTGACCTGGACTGCCAGTATCTTCTTCGTGTCCACGTCCACCATCACGTGGAGCTTGACGAATCCTCTCCGGACCTTCCATTTGTGTCTGATCCACTCCCCCCTGTTGTGCTGCTTTAGGCCGGTGGAGTCGACTGCGAGGCGGACCGGCACTGTCCCGCCGCCCGTGACGGTAAACACGCTGCCATTCCTTTTGACCTCCAATGCCTGGAGCCTCCTGCATATGGTCGTGTAGCAGGGCGTATCCCAGTCACCGAGCGTCTCAATCAGCATTCCCTGCAGGTGCCTGTACGGCAGTCCTGTCATCGATTTTACCGCCGCCAGGGCCGCAAACAGTGACTCGGCGTACTGGAACGGCGCGCCCACCTTGTTCCTGTTGGCGACCATCACCTCCTCGTGCCTTTGCGGATCGTCCCGGATGATCAGCGCTTGGCCGCGCTTGACGTATTTCTCGTTGTCAGTCATCAGTAATCTGTGTCTGATCCACTGATCCTTAGCTTTTTCGGTCTCGGACGGAGTGGGGATATTCACGGTAATGTGCTAGGAGGAATTATGCAACACACTAGATCTTAAAGACAGCCCCCGCAGTCCGAAAAGTAGCACATTTCCCGTGTGGGACACCGTTACCGGAGAGCGCCGTGTCGTGGAAGACGCCTGTCAGGGTGCGGCACCAGGCGTAAGGATCCAATTCCCCTAAGGTTAATTTAAGACAAGATCAGAGGGATCCCATGAGACTGCAAGACAAGGTTGCAATCGTTACCGGCGCGTCAAGCGACATCGGTGTCAGCATAACAGAGCGGTTTGTCCAGGAGGGAGCCAGTGTGGTGCTTCTCGGACGGGATCTTGGGCGCCTGAAGCGCGCCGCAGGAGGCAGCAAGAATGCGGTACCGATGACATGCGACGTCACCAGCGAGGCGCAGGTAATACAGGCAATAGACCAGATAATGGACAAGTACGGCAAGATCGACATACTGGTAAACGGGGCAGGGGCCATCAACGATCCTGTGCACCTGCACAAGATGCCCGATGCCGAGATAGATCGTCTGCTGGACGTGAACCTCTACGGCGTCCTTAGGCCGACCAAGGCCGTGCTGGCCAAGATGAGCGAGGCGCGCAGCGGATCCATAGTCAACATCGGATCCATCAGCAGCGAGCGCGCCATTCCACGGGTGCACTTGGCGGTGTACTCTGCAGCAAAGGCGGCAGTGAGCATGTTTACAAAGGCAGTAGCAGTGGAGTATGCCAGGCGCAACATCAGGTGCAACTGCGTGAACCCGGGCATCATCAACTCGGGAATGATCAAGCCGTATCTGGAGGATCCCAATGCCCGGAGGGTGTTGGAGGACAGGCTCCCGCTGAACAGGGTGGGAGAACCGGAAGACGTCGCAAACGCCGTGCTCTTTCTGGCGTCAGACGAGGCAAGCTGGATTACAGGGGTCGTGCTGAACGTGGACGGCGGCAAGACGGCATCCGAGGGCTAGCCGAAAGCGGTTCTGGCAAGCAGCTGCGCAACGCGGAGCGGCTCTGGCCGGGAGCCCTGCAGCGTAAGCCCGCAGAGAAGCTGCTGCGCGTCCTCTGCCGTGCATCCCTCGCACCTAACAAAGACATCGGATGCGCCAAGCGAGATCTGCTGGCGCCTTGCAAGGCTTTTGTATTGCACCATTTTTTTTGCACCAAACCTGCCCTCTACGTCCCGTATGCCGTCTGAGTCACTGTAGGTGACGCCGATTACTGGGATCCCAAGGCTCCGGTGGATCCTCCCAATGTCGACTATGTTGTACCGCGAGATGATCAGCCCCGAGAGCAACACATAGCTGATGTCCGGCCTGCCAAGCCTGCCATACATGTCCAGTACGGTGTCTGTGGCGTCGTCGCCTGAGAGCGTCGCATGCCCCAGGACAAAGCCGTCGATCACAAGGTCCCTCCTCATGACGACGCCTGCCAGCACCGATCTGCGTGATCCGGGGGCAAAGCTCTCCGCGATGGCCAGTCCCCTCAGGCCCCTCTTCTCAAGGTGCAGGTGTCTCATGTCTCCTCCTGTAGGCCCTGTATGCCACAGCCGAGGCGGTGATCAGAATGCCTGAAACCACGGACCACACAAAAAACGGGACAGCCTCTGACTCTACCATACCATACCAGAAGCTAATAACATCTAAATACATTTGACAATCACGCCAGACTATGCCTGAAATCATATGCGGCGTATGCGGGGTGCGAATGTTCCACGAGAACGAGACCACCCTCAAGGTGGAGAATGCCATTCACAAAAAATTCTGCAGGAAGAAGCCCGGTGAGACCCACAGCTACATGCACCGGGATGTGGAGCACCAGGGCCCCTTTGACGCAGAGCGGGAGAGCGACGCCCAGGGCAACCCGGTTCTAAAAAAATAGGCGCACGACAGATGGCGCCTGATCCTTCAAAGGCGGACACTGCCGATCCGGTTGCGCCTGATCCCGCAAGATCCCCAGGGGCCTGCAGGCATCAGCAGAACTGAATTATATCCGGCATGGTTCAGGGTGTGGCATTGGATACTTTTGATCTGGTGGTGGTAGGCGGAGGGCCCGCGGGATCCTCTGCGGCATATGCGGCCGCCCGGGCAGGCCTCGATGTTGCCCTGATAGAGAGAGAGGAGTCCATCGCGCACTCGGTCAGGACAAGCGGCGTAACATGGATGGAGTCAGTCAGGGAGTTTGGCATACCGGCTGACTGCTACAACCCGATAAGGAACTATGCCTTCTGCTCCCCGGGCAACAGGGTGGAGATATCAGACGATACTCCCAGGGCGGCAGTGCTGGACGTCCGAGGGACGTACAGGTTTCTAGCAAAGCAGGCGCAGGGGCATGGAGCCAAGATCTTTCTCAGCACCAGGGTGACCGGTGTGCGTAGGGACGACGGCGGGAGAATCTGCGGGGTGACCGCAACGTCCCCGGACGAGGAGGTCGAGTTTCGCTCCAGAATGGTGATTGACGCCAGCGGCTTTGCATCCGTAGTTGCCAGGTCCATGTCGCTGGTGAACCGGTGGAGGAGGTTCGGCGTCGGCGCCGAGTGGGAGGTGAGGGTGGAGAGCCTGCGCCCGGACACCTGGTGGCTCATGGTCGGGGAGCAGTACTCCCCTGCGGGGTACGCCTGGATATTTCCGGTGGGCCGCAACACGGCCCGAATCGGCGTGGGCGTGGGAAGGCCGGAGTCAGAGGCCGACCCAGTCGAGAAGCTCCGGGACATAATGGAGAGGGGGGTGGGACCCATAGGGGAGCTTGGCAGGATCGAGCCCATCGAGTTCCACTACGGCCTGATCCCCAACGAGGGGCTGATAAGAAAGACGGTGTACGACAACCTGATTCTGGTGGGCGACTCGGCGGGGCAGGCAAACCCGCTGGTGCTTGAGGGAATAAGATATGCGGTGCGGTATGGCAGGGTTGCCGGGCAGGTGGCAGCCGACGCGATACGCCGCAATGACACCTCGGAAGGGTCGCTTGAGCCATACGAGAAGCGATGGCGCCGCGACATCCAGTCCAAGGTAAACTCTGCGGGAAGGGTGCAGAGCAGGTGGATCGGCCTGACTGACCGGCAGTGGGACCGGGAGCTTGACATAATCCGGGAGCTGTCCGCAGACGAGTTCCTGGACTTTATCAGGGCCGACTTTGGCCTGTCAGATGCGGTAAGGCTGGCAGCGCGCCACCCGCGGCTGGCAGTCCGGCAGCTCTTTGGCATGGCGAGGCAGCGGAGCCATGCGGCAGCCGGCGACGCACATCCGGCAGACTCCCAGTGACAGGTGGCTTTCGCTACGTACATACTCAGGTTCCGCTCAATGCTAGGCATGGTTTTGCATAGTGTCATGTATTTTTTGTGCCTAGACAGACTGCCGATCTGAGTATATACTTCGCTACCCGACAACAATTTAATTGGCACAAGCCAGGAGTCAGGCAATCACATGCCCGGCACTCCCACCACACCCGATCCTGCACCCGCGACAGACGGAGTAAGCCGGCTGTTTGATCAATGGGCCGAGAGCGGACGCTCAGAGCACCTGGAAAGAGAGCACTCCAAGACCGTCCTGAAGTTTCTGGATGGGATCCGCTTCAGGGACTCGTTCTCATTTCTGGACGTGGGCTGCGGAAACGGGTGGGTGGTAAGGCGGGTGGCCCAGATGGGTTCCTGCAGGCGCGCCGTAGGAATAGACAAGAGCCCGGGCATGATCAAAAAGGCGGTATCAAGACGGCAGAGTGGCAAGGAGAGCTACCGCGCAACTGATGTCGAGTCCGTAAGATCTGGCAGGTTCGACTATGTCTTCTCCATGGAGACCATATACTATGCGGCGTCGGTCGAGGCGGCGGTCAGGAAGATATACCGGCTGCTAAAACCCGGCGGGGTGTTCTTCTGCGGCACGGACTTTTACAGTGACAACCGGGCCACAAACAGGTGGGCAGGCACATGCCCTGTCAAGGTGCATCTGCTGTCGCGCAGCGAGTGGAGGAGTCTCTTTGAGGATGCCGGCTTTGAGACAAGAACCATGCAGGTAAAAGACGAGGATGAACGCCGCAGATGGAAGAGGGAGCAGGGAACACTGTTCATTGTCGGGACGAGGCCCGGCCCCTGACCTTTACCAGGTATACGGCGATGGCAGCGGCCACCGCTGCCGCCACTCCCACAAGCGCATACACATACTCCTGGCCGCCTGCATCTGATGCGCCCGTATCCTCTGCCTTCACGTCCAAGATTCCGCGATCCACTTCCAGCGCCAGGAAGCTGATGGTGTAGATGTCAGGCCGGAGCACCTCGTCAGATATCACGAACAGCTTCAGCTCGTTCGAGCCCGGCCGCAGCATGGAGGATGTGTCCCCATCCAGCACCAGCGTGAACTCATCGTCCAGAATGCTGTCGGTGCCTGTCAGTATCTGCTCCCCCAAGGCGTTTGTCACAAAGTAGTGAATCGTGGTGGCATCCTTGGTTGTAACAGGGATCTGGGCCTCATTGCCGATCTGGATCACGTCCGGAAGCTGCACCGAGAGTATCTCGGGAAATTTGCCCTCCTCAAAGGCTGCCCAGTGGCCCGCCTCAATGGGATATGACGGGTCGTCAAAGGCACGGATCTTGATCAGTCGCGACTCGGGCGAGTACCCGTCCAGATAGAACGGGCCGTTGCTGATTACCGCATGGTCGCTCTCCTGAATCCACCTTATGGCAGCGTCGTACCTGGCTACTGCGTATTCGGCGCCTATGCGGCCTGCCAGGGCCGCCGGAATGTGGCCCGAGTCCCTAGAGTCCTCCAGGTATCCCAGGATCATCTGCGTGTCGTCGGGGATCAGCAGCGAGAGCCAGCTCACATTCTTGCTGGTGGCGCCGGATCGGGAGAACGACGTCTTGCCGTCCAGTACTGCCTGCTCCATGGCCACATACACCTCCCAAGGCATCGTGCTCCACAGGGAGGCCCAGTCGGCAATCTCCGAGTCGTCAAAGTGCCAGTAGTCGACGTACACCTGCACCGTGTCGTGATCCAGGATCCGGACGCCCTTTAGCGTATTCACGTACTGGGACGTCCGCGGCGTAAACTCGGCATCAAACGTGCGGTCGTCACCCTCTTGGGCCGAGCCCCACTCCAGCGTGAAGTACAGCCCGTACAGGATGTCGTTGATATCCATCTCCTGTCCGTGGTGCCAGTTGCTGAAGTCCAGGTCAAAGACGACGCTGCTTGTGGCCTGCGAGCCTGCAGGCACGGGTTCCCAACTCTGGCTGGCGACGTTCCAGAGTATGGCATCTGCGGGAACGTCAAGGCTGCCCCCGGATCCCGCGGTGTCGATATCCCAGCTGCCCCGGACCGGGACGAGCTCGCCGTTGAAGGGGTGATTGAGTGCTATGGGATCATAAAGGCTGCGCCAGATGTAGGCGCTGTAGACGTCGCTGAATCCCACCACCGGATTCCACGATCCCTGGTATATCTGCTTGACGCCCACCACCAGCGAACCCGAGTCGGTTCTGGCATTGATTGGTGTAAGCCTGGTGGTCACGCCGGCGCCAAAGTCGTTGATCACGCCCTCGACCCCGTCGTTGGCCACATACTGCTCGGTCCTGCTGGCAAGAAATATCCTCACGGACTCCCTGACCCCTTCCAGTGTTGCTTCCTGTATGAGTTCTGCCCGCTCTTGGGCCGAGGTAAAGTTTCCCGCGTATATGCTCTTTGTCAGGCCGTCCAGATACTCGTTCTCATAGTTCCAGTTGCTGGGATCGTTGGAACCCGGCATGTTCGAGAACCACGGCGAGTACATCTGCCCCAGGCCCGTCGAGTCGTACTTGACAAAGGCAGAGCTGCCCCAGCCCTCGGTGTATATGTGCCACTGTAGATCCGCCGGGTTGGAGCCGTACACGACCACAAACGCCTTGTTGAGATCACCAAAATCCCTGTGTACCACAAATCCCACTGCCTCAAGCTCCGCTGCCAGTATCTCCCCTATCGACTTTCTGACTGGATCGTCGCTGCGGATGAATATGTTAATCTCGATTGGCTGATCCTCATAGTGCCATATGCCCTCGGACTCTGTCGCGCCGTACTCCAGCAGAGCCTGCGTGATCATCTGATCCGCCAGTGCCGGGTTGTACCTGAAGCTAAAGGACTCCAGCTCCTCGATTATGTTGAGGTAGTCGGGATCGTGGGGCCCGTAAAACGAGATTTTGGACATGCCAAACCCGCCCATGAGCTCGTTTACTATCAGATTTCTGTCCACCAGATAGTTCAGCGCAAACCGCACCTCCTGCAGATGGAACGGGTTGAACCGATCGGATACGGCGGGATTGATCAGTATGCTGTTGGTGCCTCCCGAGGATTCGAATATCTGGATGCCGGTGCGGGACTCGGAGCTCTCTATTCTGTTCGAGGGGACTGTATAGTAATAGATGTCCAGGTTGCCGTTGCGCACCTCCTCTAGCGCGGTGTTCTCATCCAGATACTGGATGAATGTCACCTCGTCGACAAAGGTGCCCTTCTCTGCATATGCCGCATACGTCATGCCCAGAGACAGGGCCGCAACCAGAAAGAGCAGGGTTTTCATGAAATGAAGAGAGCCTGCATAAAAATAAAGGTATGCCGCCCGAACCGTGCAGCCAGCCACGATATCTGCCAAGATGCAGGCATGGGGGCGTTGAACCACCACTCTGCTGTTTTTTTAACTGCGCTGCTCAGCTGGCAGTCCTGCAGACCAGTAGCATAACTGGGGAAGCTGTTGCCCATACGCCAACACTACTAACGGCACCTGATTGAGGCGCCACATCGTGCAGTTATGGTTTCATCTTACTGTATTTGTCCCGCGCCTTTAGGTACTCCTCAAGAATTTTATGACAAGTGTCACAGATCATTATCTTCTCCCCGATCTCCTTGTCGTGGTGCACTGTAAGTGACTTAATGCTCTTGCAGCAAGGACATATTCCCAAACCGCCCATAGCAGGGATGTGAAATGTACTTATTTAAAGGGAATTATATACATGAGTGTACAGTACCCATGCCTTTTGCTGGCGCTCTTGCAACCACCCCGGCGCTTGGCTCTCGCGCCTTGTCTGGGGGCGCCCGGGAGCAATCCCGGACTGTGGCCTCGCGCCTTCAGACGACCATCCCGGCCGCCCTGCCGCTTTCACGGCAATATTATGCGCCGCGTTTATGTCGGCGTTGATGTCATTGTAACACTTGTCATTGGTGCAGAGGAACCTCCATTGGGAGATCCTGGATTCCTTGTCGCTGTGGCCGCACTGGTGGCATGTGATGCTGGTGCCCTTGGGGTCCACCATAATTACGGTCACGCCAGCATTGGCGCAGGCGCCCATGATCTGCCGCTGGAAAGTCCCGGGCCTTGAGTAGGCCATCTCGCGGTTGAGTCCCGTCTTGGCCGCGCTCCCCCTGCCTTTTCCCTTGGCCGTCATGTTGTTTAGGTTGAGGTCCTCCATGGCCACGACGCCGGCGCCGTCCGCTATCCCCTTGGAAGCGTGTCTTTCCCAGTTCGTCTGGCGGTTGACGATCTTCTCGCGTTTCTTCCCGATATTCCTCTGGAGATCCTTGTAGCTTCTTGACTTTGGCTTCCTCGGCTTGTTTTTGTTGTTACTGTTATCGTTCCCGTTCCTGCCTTCATAGGCATCATGCCTGATGCGCCTGTTCCCGCGTCCACCGCGCTTCCTTGAGAGTTCTGAATACATCCTGGATAGGTCGTCATTCTTGGCGCGTCTGCAGTCCTTTGGGAGGTCGTGGAACGCGTGGCTGCCCGTGTCCAGATCCACTGTAGTGGCCTCGTGGATGATTCCCATGTCAACGCCCCTGACAATTGTGGACTCGGACGGCTCTGGAGCCTTGGTTTCAACCTGGATGTGGAGCCGGTACGTCCTGTTGTGGCTCTCGGTGCGCCTCGTTGTTTTCTTGGTCGTCTCCACCAGCTGAAAGGATCGCATGTCGAGCCCCTCCACGTCGCCGTGCACCCTCACGGTGCATATGCCAGGAGGGTGCAGCATGCCGTTGCCCTTGTATGTGGGCTTCACAAACACCGATAGAGACCGCTGCTTCCCCTTTCTCTTGAACAGGGAATCACTGTGGCGCCACCTGTTCCTCTTGTTGCTCCACTTGTTCGATGGCAAATTTTCCGCCGCGTCAATATTCTCGACACCATCCTTTTCCCTTGTAGCGCCTGGCCAGGTACTTCCACAGTGACTTGTCTGCGCGCTTTTTCCCGTTGGATTTCATGAACTTCTTTACAGCGTCCAATCCTTGCAGGAGCCCTGCCCTCTGGACAAGGACGCCGCCCTTCATCCACTCCTTTTCGTTTCTCCATTTCGTGAGCATCTTGTTGAGGTCAAACTTGGTTGTCCTCGGATCGTTGATCTTCTCCCTGACGGCCATGTTGAAGGCCCACCTCTGCTGGTCCATGTGGCGGGATATGAGATCCGACAGCTCCGCCGACTGGTCAAAGTCCACCTTTATGTTGCGTATCATGGCGCCCTCCATTTGGCGCTTTGACCACTTTTTTGGCGCCGGCCCGGTTGCAGCTGCGGCTACATCCACATTCTCCATTGTTGCCACTGTTGCAGCCGGCGCGATTGCCGTTGCCATGGCGTGTCTTGCCACGCGTTTAATATTAAACATCACATAAAAGCCGGCGGCCGTACCATGCGGGCAGTGCCGGCCGGCGTCGTAAAATCTGGAACAATCGCCGGCCAGTTAGGAACCTGGAAGACCGGTCTGCCGGACAGCATGATCTGCCTGAACGGGAAGCCCCGGCCATGCAACAGCGCCGGCAGTTCACTTAACTATATAATTCCCTATTTAAACAGTAAAGGTAGGCGAGTCTGGCCACTGCTAGGGGGATCCTCTCAGGGATGCCAGAAGCGCCTTTTGCGTGTGGAGCCGGTTCTCCGCCTCATCCCACACCGCGGACTGTGGTCCGTCAATTACCGATGCGGCAACCTCCTGTCCGCGCTTTGCAGGAAGGCAGTGCATGAATATCGCATCCGGTTTTGCCTCCCCCATCAGTGCGGAGTTTACCTGGAACTTTGGAAGGAATCTTTTGATCTTTGATGGGTCCATGTTGTGAATGGATGAAAAGGTGTCAGTCATCACCACATCCGCATCCTTTGCTGCGGTGGCAGGACTTGTGACCAGCTGCACATCGGTTATCCGAGCCGAGTCTTCCACCACCTTCGGATCGGGCCGAAACTCCTCCGGTGTGGCAACGGAGATGCCCATGCCAGTGCCGGCGCAACCCAGTATCAGCGAGTTACACACGTTGTTGCCGTCCCCGATCCAGGCAACCTTCAGGCCTGCAAGGTTCTTCTTCCTCTCCTTGATGGTCATCAGATCCGCCAGGGTCTGGCACGGGTGAAACGAGTTAGACAGTCCGTTGATTACCGGGACGCGCGCGGCAGCCGCCAGGTCCTCCACCATTTCGTGGTCAAAGACCCGAGCCATGATATAGTCCACATATCCAGAGAGCGTCCTTGCGGTGTCTCCGATCGTCTCCCCCCGCGATAGCTGCATATCGTTTGATGAGAGCACCACCGCGCTGCCTCCCAGCTGGTACATTCCCACCTCAAAGCTCACACGTGTCCTGGTTGATGGTTTTTGAAATATCATTGCAAGTGTCTTGTTCTTCAAAAGCGGTTTTGATACGCCGCTCTTTAGATCCTTCTTGAGGCCTGTAGCGAGATCAATTAGGGAGCCAATCTCGTCTGGGGAGATTTCGTCAAACCGAAGAAAATCCTTTGTTTGTAGGCTCATCATCTAAACCTTCCAAAGAGTCCCTTTTTCTTTTTTGCCTTTTCTGGCTCCTTCAGATCGTCCTTTTGTGGCTCTTCCGTTGAGGATTCCTTCAGATCGACATTTTGTGGTTTTGGCGCCTCGTCTGGAGCGGGCCTGTTGTCTGATATCCACCTTCTGACCTTGTCTGCAAGCAGGGCGGCCCGGCGGTCATCCTCTGGTGGGGCGACATCGTAAAGATCAGAGTACAGGACAATGTCTGCGGTGCTGATTCCCTCAAAGGGATCGCCCTCTGATTCTGCGGCTTTCTGTTTTTTGGGCTCTGCCTCTTCTCGCACCTGCGGGGATTCTGCAACAGTCTGCTCCCGGGTCTCCGCCTCGGCTGCCTTCAGTATGCCGCCGATCTCGCCCACAAGCCCGTCTTTGGTATCCGGTTTCTCTGCAGTCGGCTCCTCTGGGGGTTCCGCCATGGGTTCTGGCTCTGGTCCTGCTTCGGTGTCCGGCTCTTCTGGAGTGTCAGGCGCCTCTGGAGCAGTCGGCTCCTCTGGGGGCTCTGCCATGGGCTCTGGCTCCACTTTGGTAACCGGCGTCTCTGCGGCGATCGGCTCTTCTGGAGATCCTGCCTCGGGCTCTGGCACATTCCCGGCATCCGGCTCTGCGGCAGGCTCCTGTCTGGCCTCCTCACCTGGGGCCGGTCCCATGGCATCTCCCGCACCGGCAGGCGCCCTCTCAGGCAGCGCGGCCCCCAGATCCACCCCGTCCAGTGAGCCAAACACCGTCTTTAGAAAGACGTCCTTGTCAAAGGGCGCAAGGTCGCCGTACTCCTGGCCCACGCCCACAAAGATCACCGGCGTCGAGGTAACCTTGACGATGGAGAGCGCAGCTCCCCCGCGGGCGTCCGCGTCGCTCTTTGTCAGAATGGACGCGTTAAACTTTACATGGTTGTGAAACTCCCGGGCCTGGTTTACCGTGTCGTTGCCTGCCAGTGAGTCGCCGACGAATACCGTCAGGTCTGGCCTCACCACGTTGGTTATCTTTACAATCTGCTCCATCAGGTTCTTGCTGGTCTGCATCCTTCCCGCGGTGTCGATCAGAATGCAGTCGATCTTGTGGGATCTCGCATACAGCACGGCGTCCCGGGCCACCGCCGCGGGATCCGCCCCGTAGTTCTGCGCGATAATCTTGAGGTGCAGCCGGTTCATGTGCTCCTTTATCTGCTCGATGGCGCCGGCCCTGAAGGTGTCCGAGGCCGCCACGGCAACAGAGAGCTTGGAGTTCTTCAGCAGGTGCGCAACCTTGGCCACCGTGGTGGTCTTTCCCGTCCCGTTGATTCCCACAAACAGTATGATGTAGGGATCCGGCGACTCCTTCTTTGCCCGGATCTCTTCCAGCACGTCCACCGTGCCCGCATCATCAAACATCCCGGATATGAGTCGGATCAGTCCGCTCCTGACAAATGCAGACACCTCGGATTTGTCGACCCTGGAACTCACCAGCCTACCCTTGAGGTCGTCCTTGATGGAGTTGATGACCTCAGATGCCACGTCGGATTCCAGCAGGGAGACCTCCAGATCAAACAGCACGCCGTCGATGTCATCTTCGTTTAGCTCCTTCTCGCCCAGGTTCTTTGCGACATTTGAAAACGCGGTTCGAAGCTTGTCAAACATCGCGGATCTTATTTTTGTGCGGGCTGGATCATCCGGGTCATCTGCTGCCTGGTACTCTCCAGCTGCTCTCCGATCTGCTGCCTTCTTGCGGACACATCCCTCAAGCCCGCATCGATCTCCTTTAGCCGCGCTTCAAGATAATTCAGAGTGTACGCAGAGTCCTTCTCCAGCACAACGCCGGCGCCCACATTCAGAACCAGCTTGTCGGCAGGCGAGATCTTTGCCTTCACAAAGGTCCCCTGCCCCACAGGCAGCAGGGTCTCCGTCTCCGCCTCGCCGCTTATCGCCCTTACCGCCTCGATGGCAGCTGCAGTGTCACGGATGATGCCGTACATGGACTCCTCTCGCTGCACCAGCTCTGCGTAGTAGCCCTCCAGCATCTGTGCCTGCTGCAGCATCTTTTGAACATCTTCCTCACTCATTAACACAGGAGGCCATTCTGTGTGTTATAAATTCACTTGTGGATGCAGCAAGCATACCTCCGTGGGCCACGATTGAAGGGGCGCGTATCGTGGCAGAGTGCAGGGTCTGTGGAGGCGGCTCCCACGGTTGGCATGGGCGCATCCGCAGGATGGCGCTGCGCCAAGCGACGCAAGGACTCCGGTTGGCCATGACGGCCATGCGGCCCTGGCAGGCCGGAGTTTTGCCTCCTAGCGATCCGCAGGTATGGCGCAGAAAAATAAAAAAGAAAGAAGGGGAGCTACTGTGCCCTTGACAGCCTGTCGTCAACCTCGTCCCAGTTGACGACGTTCCACCATGCGGCTATGTATGCAGGTCTCCTGTTCTGGTAGTTCAGGTAGTATGCGTGTTCCCACACGTCGCATCCAAGCAGGGGAACGAGCCCCTCGGTTCTTGGACTTGTCTGGTTGGGCATCGCCTTATACTCCACGCTGCCGGATGACGGGTTGTAGACCAGCCATCCCCAGCCGCTGCCTTGGATGACTGCGGTGGTCGAGGAGAACTTTTCCTTAAAGTCGGCAAAGCTCCCAAAGGACGAATCGATGGCATCTGCTAGCGCGCCCCCGGGCTCACCGCCTCCTGCAGGACTCATGTTGTTCCAGAATAGTCGGTGGTTGTCAAAACCGCCGCCGTTGAAGTTGATTGCGCCTCTTTGACCCTCGGGCACCGTACCGAGATCGGCCAGGATCTCAAGAATGTCCATGCTTTGAACGCTCTCGGGGCACTGAGACAGTGCGGCGTTCAGCTTGTCGGTATACGTCTGGTGGTGCTTTGTGTGGTGAATCTCCATGGTTCTGGCGTCGATGTGAGGTGCCAGCGCGTCGTATGCGTAGGGCAGTTTTGGAAGTGTATAGTCACTCATAGGTTATGCTCGATTCTCATTCAATTTATTGTTTGTTCAAACAAAGTTGATTTTTACTAGAGAACGACACCGGTAGGGTGTGATGCTTCGGTCTGCGGTACTGCTTGGTCTGGTGGCAGCCATCGGCATAGCGCTGCTGTACCAGGGCACAGGCGGGCAGGATGCCGTCACGTACCTGCAGGACAGCGTGCCGTACATAGGGGCAGACGTGCCGCAGGAGTTGGGGTACGGCGGAGACGGAATAAGGGTGGCAGTGGTCGACACCGGGGTGGATCCCACGCATCCGGATCTCTTCGGGTTTGGCCCCGACGGCAAGGTGCGCGGAAGGAGCTTTGTGGGACAGGCCGAGGTTCCATTTGACTCCAACGGCCACGGCACCCAGGTGGCCGGAATCATAGCGGCCAACGGCGGCATGCAGGGAATCGCGCCCGGATCAGTCATCTACTCCTACAAGGTGTCCCATGACGGCGACGCGGTATCGTCGGATCTGATAGTCAAGGCGGTCAGGCAGGCCATTGCCGATGATGTGGATGTGATCAACATCAGCCTTGGGGTAAACAGGACCAACCGGCAGATCGACGAGGCGGTAAATGAGGCCACAAGGGAGGGCATCGTGGTCGTGGTGGCCGCGGGAAACGACGGACCCGGAGCCGGCACCATCGGCAGCCCGGGAATCAATCCAAACGCAATCACGGTGGGCGCCACGCACAACAACATCACGTCCAGCCTGGTGGCCACCTTGGAGGTTGACGGGGAGCTCTTTGAGGTGATCCCCATGGTCGGCGCCGCGCCCCTGAAGAGCGCCATATCCGCGCAGGTAGTCGACGGCGGCTACGGCAGGGCAGCGGATCTTGAGTCCGGCGGCCACGAGGGCAAGATAGTTCTCGCAGAGCGGGGCAGTGACACGGAGGGCGAGGTAGTGTACTTTTCTGACAAGGAGTTCAACACTGCCAATGCCGGCGCGCTGGCGCTCTTGGTGTACAATAACGTCGAGGGGCTCTTTTTGGGGGAGCTGATACACGAGTTTGTGGACGCAGACTATGCACCCAGGATTCCCACCGTCTCCATGTCCAGGGAGGACGGCCTGAAGATCAAGGACTTGTTGGAGGACGGAGCCGCAGGCACGCTGCACATCTTCAGAAACCCGGACTTTGTGGCCCATTTCAGCTCCCGGGGTCCCGCATCGCCGTTCTACATCAAGCCCGACATTGTGGCCCCCGGCGTCTTTATCAACAGCACGTCCCTTGGCGGCGGCTACAACTACACCTCAGGCACAAGCTTTGCGACGCCGCATGTAAGCGGGGCCGTAGCCCTGCTGCTTGAGAAGAACCCCACACTGGGGCCGTCGGAGATAAAGTCGATCATAGTCACAACGACAGACCTGGCATCAGACGAGCACGGAGAGCAGTTTCCCGTAGAGGTGGCAGGCTCCGGAAGGCTCAACGTCACCAGGGCGTTTAATGCGGAGCTGATCATATTCCCCACCTCCCTGGCCTTTGACATCGCACTGCCGGGGACTGCGGACACGGAGGTGCTCAGAGTCCGGACCACGGATCCTCCGGTAGGCGACATAGGGGTACGAATATCGGCACCCGATGCCTTTGATGTATCCCACGAGACATCAGGCGACGGGGTGGCATTCACGGCACGGATGGTGCAGGGCGTATCCGGTGAGTTTGCGGGAAGGATATTCCTTACCCACAAGGCAACCGAGTACAGCATACCGTTTGTCATCAGGACGTCAGAGGGCGCCATTACGGCCTCAAGCGACTCGGGGACGCTGAGCCTTGGAGTTGACGCGCCGGGGTGGTCGTTTGCTAGGATATACGTCACGGACTCAAAGACCGGCTACACCGATGCGGTGTCTGCGGTGCCGGGCCGGGACGGCCAGCTCAGGGTGTACGATCCTGGCACGTACTGGATAGAGGCCAGGGTTACGGCAGGGGACCGGACGTACAGCATCTACGACAAGATAGGCGTGACCCAAGCAGCAGAGAGGGGTGCAACAGATGTGCTGGACATAGGCCTGCCCTATAGGCAGATGATCATATTGGCAGGAGTCACAGCCGCAGTGGCGGCATCGGGGGTGGCGCTCTCAAGATACAGGTCCGATAGCCCTGCTGCGGATTTATCGTCCTAGACAGGCATCTGCATCGGGAGCGGCGCCTTCAAGGTACAGGCAGCGCTCTACACGTCCTGGGACGGTCTCGGACCGCTGGCCAGCACCTGCGGCGACACGCCGCCGAACTTGGTAAAGTTGCGCACAAACATCTGCGCCAGCCTTTCTGCTGCCTGGTCGTACGAGTCCCTGTCGGGCCAGGTCATCCTAGGGTTCAGGACGTCTGCGGGCACGCCAGGACACTCGATGGGAACGTCGATGTTGAAGAGATCGTCATGCCTGTAGGGAACCGCATCCAGTGCGCCTGACAGCGCGGCGGTAACCATTGCACGGCTGTGCCTTATCTTGATTCTGGATCCCGCACCGTAGGGGCCGCCGGACCATCCCGTGTTTATGAAGTATGTCTTTGCGCCGTACCTTTTGATCCTCTCACCAAGCATTCCTGCGTATACGGCAGCATGTCTTGGCATGAACGGCGCCCCAAAGCACTCAGAGAAGGTCGCCTTGGGCTCCTTGATTCCGCGCTCGGTGCCTGCAAGCTTGCTGGTGTACCCGGACATAAAGTGGTACATGGCGCCCATCTCTGTCAGCCGAGATACCGGAGGCAACACGCCCATGGCGTCTGCCGTAAGGAATATGATCGTCTTGGGGTTTCCCCCGATGCTGGGAGTCACGGCTCCCGGGATGTGATCCAGGGGGTATGCCACGCGGGTGTTCTCCGTAAGCTTGCCGTCATCAAAGTCTGGCCGCAGTGTCCTGCTGTCGATCACAACATTCTCCAGAACCGCGCCGGATCTGATGGCGTTCCAGATCTCCGGCTCCGCCTCCCGGCTCAGGTGGATGCACTTTGCGTAGCAGCCGCCCTCAAAGTTGAAGATGCCACGATCAGACCAGCCGTGCTCGTCATCTCCGATCAGCATTCTGTCTGGATCCGTGGACAGTGTTGTCTTGCCGGTGCCTGACAGCCCAAAGAAGAGCGCCGTATCGCCGCCCCGACCCATATTGGCAGAGCAGTGCATAGGGAACACGCCCCTTGACGGCAGGACAAAGTTCATTGTGCTGAACATGGACTTTTTCATCTCGCCTGCATAGCTGGTGCCCCCGATTAGAACTATCCCCCGGGAGAGATTGAGGATTATGAAGACGTCGGAGTTTGTTCCGTCTTCCTTTGGTATGGACTCAAAGTCGTTGATGCACATAATGGTAAAGTCAGGCTTGTGTGACCGGAGCTCCCCGGCAGAGGGCCCCACAAAGAGCTGCCTGGCAAAGAGGCTCTGCCATGCGCGATCATTGATCACCCTGATGGCCAGCCGGTTCCCGGGATCCGCCCCCACAAATCCGTCAAACGCAAAGAGGTTCTTGCCGGTGACGAATCCCTTCATCTTCGCAAGCAGCCTGTCAAACTTGTCCTCTGGGAAGGGATGGTTGATCTTCCCCCAGTCTACCGTGTCCTGCGTCAGATCATCATACACGATATATCTGTCGTCTGGGGAGCGGCCGGTGTACTTGCCGGTTCGAACAGACAGCGCCCCTGTGGATGTCACCGCGCCCTCACTTTGGGACACCGCCATATCTACCAAGGCGCCTACCGGGAGGTTTCGGTGAATCGTTCTTGGCGCAATGCCAAACTTGGCTATCTGCTCTGCAAACATGGTGGCAGTCTGCACATTACTACCCGTATCAAAGCCCCCTGCATTTGTATTCGATCCGCTTAAAGCTTCCTTAATATCTCTTTTGGGAATTATGGCTGTGTCCTACTAAGATATACCTGTCCAATAGGCTGTGTCCTAGAGACATAACCCAACAATAACCGGCTGACGCGGCGCCGGTACGGGCATTATCCGAATTCCCAAGATTTGCAGTCTTTTTCGGATGTTGCCGGTTCAGGATCTGGTCCGCAACCGTAAAATCCCGCCCTGCCCGACATGGCACGCGCAGGCTCCCCCACGGAACGGCGCGGCGGTCACCGCGCCAGTCAGGCAGCCATTGCAGTGAGCGACCCGTGCGTGAGCCTGCCGTCTTTTACTTGCGAGCGCGCGACCACTTCGACGCTGTAGCAGACGGCCCGGATTGCAATCTCCCGGCCCTGTCGGCCGCGCCTGCGGCTCCGGAGGCGGTTCCCGTACATTTTCTTGATTGCCCCAAAGACGGCCCCGATTATGCTCCGCTGGTGGTATTCGTCCAGGAACCTGGCCATCTCGTCCCTGTGCGTCCGGATCATGTCTCCCCACGCCTGGCTGCCCCCGTTCTTGCAGACGGTGTTGGATTTGGGCCGGATGCGCGGTGTCATGCCCTTGTCGGATATGGCGTCGCATATCTTCCTTGCCAGGTAGGCCGCGTCCAGGCAGAAGAGGCCGGTACCATCTTCGAGCCTGCCCAGCATCGGCCACAGTCCTGCGATGTCAGAGGCGTACACGTCGGCGACCAGGTAGTCTAGGGCGGTCCTGGTGGACACGTCGACTATGCTGTGCAGCTTGACCCAGCCGCGCTTGAGCCTGACCTGGCCGTGGCGGATGCTGAACCACCTGGCGAGCCTGTTGCCGGAGTAGCCGGTGCTGTCCCCGGCCACCGAGCCGGCCACCATGGCGTCGCCGATGATCCTAGTGTGGACCTCCCGCATGTACGGCTCGGGGGTCAGTCCGTAGGCGCGCCAGATGGCGCCCTTGGAGGGTATCCTGAGCAGCCCCACCATCCGGGCCAGATTCGGGTTGATCCTGAGATGGCCCACCGTCTTTCGGCAGGTACGCGCCTCTGCCTCCATGAGGGTGCAGACGACGGCCATGGCCTTTGGCGGGTAGGCGGTCATGCCGCCCAGTCCGGGTTTGGCCCGGTAGGGGTCACCCAGATACTCGACTATCCTCAGTACCGTGTTCAGTATTGGGCCCGGCAGGCGCTGCCGGACCAGTTCGTAGGGTCGCTGATCGCGTTTTCCTTTTTTCACTGGATCGGGCCGCGATCATCGGATCATTGTGCCTTGCGATTTTGAGGAAGCATATGTCCGTGGGACACAGCAGGCCGTTGGGGAACGTATTTATTTCAAATTTCACCAGTTCGCAATATGCCAATCAACCGCGACAGGCTTGAGCAGCGCAGCAAGCTGGCGGCCCACAGGCCGGAGTTTAAGCGTCCCGAGAGCTGGAGATACAAGCGTCTGGACACCACCTGGAGAAAACCCAAGGGAATAGACAACCACATCAGAAAGCAGCTGAGTCGCGGCCGCCCGGGTGTTGTCAAGGTGGGCTTTGGCGGACCCAAGGCCGCAAGGGGCCTGCACCCGTCAGGCTACACCGATAACCTAGTCTTCAACCCGGACGGCCTAAACGGCCTGAACCCAAAGGTCGACGGGATACGGATAGGCCACACCGTGGGGACCAAAAAGAGAAGGGAGATAGTCCGGGCGGCCATAGAAGGAAAGTTCAAGGTATTCAATGCCAGGGTGAGCAAGGTTGGTAGTTAATCTCAGTGCAAAGAAGAGGCTGGCGGCCCGGGTTACAGGGTATGGGATCCACCGGATCACGTTCAGCCCCGATCACCTGGAGGATATCGCAGACGCCATCACGCGGCAGGACATACGGGGCCTGGTCACCGCAAACAAGATCACCATCAAGAAGGTGCAGGGCACCTCCCGCGGCAGGGCCCAGCTCAAGCACCTGCAAAAAAAGAAGCGCGGGACCAAGGCAGGCTCCAAGCACGGAAGAAAGGGCGCTCGCATGGGCAAGAAGGAGACCTACGTCAAGAAGGTAAGATCCCTCAGGTACCTGCTGGGTGTGGCAAAGGACAGGTCCGATATAGACAACAAGGAGTTCTGGTCGCTGTACAAGAAGGTGAGAGGAAACACGGTACGAAACAAGGCCCACCTGAGGCAGCTCATCGAGACCGCAAAGCAGTCCAGAGAAGCCTAGAAGTGGTGCACCCTCTTCTCAAAGTCCAGTATCTTGCGGCCCCTGATCTCCACCCCCTCGTCTGTTAGCATGTTGATCTTGATATCCTGCCCGTAGGCATAGCCGCCCACGCCCCCGTCGGAGAGCACCACCCTGTGGCACGGAACCACGCCGGGAAACCTGTTTCTGTTCATTATCCGCCCTATGACGCGCTGTCCGTTTTTGAGCCCCACTGCCCTGGCCAGCTCCCCGTATGTGGTAACCTTGCCCTCGGGAACCTGCATCAGCTTCTTGTACACGTCATCATCCAGGGTCAGAGCCGGATCACCTCCAGATCGGTGTCTGCGACCAGATCCAGGACCTTCTGCTTGTGGGGCCCGAGCCCCTTCCAGTCAAGGAGCGCCGCCGTGGCCCCTGCGTTGCGCTCAAGAATGTGCGAGAAGAGGTCGCAGTCAAGATGGCCGAGGTCGCGCCGCGGCACCACGGTTCCCAAGGCAAACTCGCCGTGTAGCAGCTCCTGGGTAAAGGCGCGCGGATAGTGCGTTCCTCCAAAACATATGCCCACGGGATACCGGCCGGGATCCTGCCGCATTGCCTCGTCTACCACCTCTGCCACCCTGCCACACAGGTCTCCATCATCCCACTGCGCCTGCGTGGTTCCCACCTCTATGAAGAGTGATGGCTTTGAGAGCGCCGTGGGGCCGTGGTGCGTTGCCTCGATTGTGATCTGAAAGTCCGCAAAGTCCTCCTGTCGCGCCTTTAGCAGGCGGAGATACCTCTTCTGCAGATCAGGGTATGGCACTGCCACCTGCCGGTCGCCCCCTCCAAAGGCGGCATGCGCAAAGTTTCCCGTGGAGTGGCAGGTGAGCGCCAGAACCCCGGAGCTTGCGGCATGCTTTGAGAGAAAGACGTAGCCGTCGTACCGGTACTCCTGCTCCAGCCAGTCCGCAGAGATTGCGGGCGTCGGTATCTCCGTCAGGTCATAGTCAGAACCCGAGAGCACGCTACCGTTTCGCCTCATCTTCTGCGACAGGTGCTGTGCCATGCTGTGTCCTGCCGGATCATCGCTGTAGGCGACCAGGATATTCACGATAAGAGATATAAAGATATCATATTAAAGCTCGCTGATGAATATTATGAAAACATTGAGGAACATGGAGAATACCATGAAGATGGCAAGAAAGCCGGACAAGGAAGAGTACAAGCAGCACCTGCGCCTGGTCCTACTGGGAATCGGCGCCGTGGGGGCCATAGGGTTTACCATCCAGTTCGTGTTCTCGGTAGTTACATTTACTTAAGTGGAAAAGATGTCCCAAGAAATAAAATCACACCTCTTTGCCATAAGAACCACAGGCGGGCAGGAAAAGGTCGTCATGAGGATACTCGAGTCCAAGTCCAGGGCAGACGCAGTCGACATCCAGTCGGTTCTGCTCGTGGAGAACCTCAAGGGATATGTGGTAATAGAGGCCATGGAGCCCAGCGCGGTCTTCAAGGCAATCCAAGAGGTGCGGCACATACGCGGCCAGCTCCGCGGGGAGCTGCAGTTTGAGGATATCGAGGGATACCTCATCAAAAAATCCACGGTATCCACCCTGCAGGTAGACAACGTAGTGGAGATCGCAGGAGGCCCATTCAAGGGAATGAAGGCCACAATCACAAGAATAGACCACGACAAGGAGGAGGCCACGGTAATACTGCTGGACGCCCCGTACCAGCTTCCGGTTACGGTCGATGCCAACTACCTCAAGGCATCACCAGGTTAGGAAGGATTAAATTTTCAGGAGATACGGTGAGGGTATAATGGGAGAACCGCAATCAGTATCTGCTCTGGTAACCGGCGGAAAGGCGTCGGCAGGACCGCCGCTGGGTCCCGCACTGGGCCCGCTGGGAGTGAACATCATGGAAGTGATCGGGGCCATCAACGAAAAGACCATGGGCTTTGAGGGAATGAAGGTTCCCGTCACGGTAGTTGTGGATACGGACACAAAAAAGTATGAGATCGAGATCGGCATACCGTCGTCTGCTGCCCTCATAATGAAGGAGATCGGAATCACAAAGGGCTCCGGAGCGTCCGGCACCGAGTGGGTAGGCGACGTATCCATGGACTCGATAGTCAAGGTTGCAGGCACGAAGCTGGAGGCATCATATGCCACCTCGCTAAAATCGGTTGCAAAGACCATAGTAGGCACCTGCCTTGCCCTGGGCATCAAGGTGGAGGGCAAGACACCCAAAGAGATAACCGCCGAGATCAACGAAGGCAAGTGGGACGAAAAGCTATAGAGGCTATGCGTCATACAGCCACTGGGTGACGATATCAGACACCAGCTGCTCCACGCTGCACTCCTCTTCCTCGGCCTCGGCCGCAAGCCTTGCCAGCAGCGGGCCGGACAGATCCAGCTTCATGTTTTTGTTGTAGTATCTGTTTGACTTGTGAACCAGCTGCGCGTGTGTGTCGTCCGGGTTGTCGACCATGGCCTTGATGTACCTGCTCCTCTTTGCCATGTCGTACTTTGCTATACGGTTTGCAACCTCCACTGCGTGGGCCGTGTTGTCAGAGGCGCGCATCAGGTGTATTGCCTGGTCGCGCGAGAGCAGCTCCGGCACCATGTCCTTGAGCTGGGACGGCACGGCGTCAAACCCCAGGTACCGCTCCAGCGTTCTTGCAGATATCCCCAGGTACCGGTGCGTCTTTGCCTTGCCGTTGCGGTCCACCAGAAACCGCACCGCCTTTGAGATCTCCGCCCCGGTCATGTTGCGCCGCTGGAGGTTCTCTATAAGGGACGTGGTCTTGGCTCCCGTCACATCCTGCCCGTCATCTAGCACCAGGGCCTGAATGGTGTACATCTTCAGGGATATGCATGCGGCTAGGCGCCGCTGGCCCGATATCAGGACATAGCCGTCCTCCCCCTCCTGCACCAGGGGCGGATTCTGGAGGCCGTCTGCCTTGATCGAGCGCGCAAGCTCGTCGATGCCCTCCCTGTCAAGGCTTCGCGCCTGCGCCTCGGCCCACACGCGAATGGAATCCAATGGAATCTCCCGTAGGTGGTATCTCAATGCAATTATTTGTTTGAGGGTAGTATTTTAAACTCTTGCAGTATTTGCCTGGCGCGAGGCGGGTAGATCCCTCTTGCTCAGGCACAAACCTGCACGACTGGATAGAGTCTTACGTCTGCTCGGCGGGACAGGCGCCATGCACATGCCGGCACGGCTGCATCGAGTCGGGCGCAGAACCCCCTCCTTAGACGCGCATATCAGGATGAGGGCGCAGTGACATGACTGGTGCGCGTACCGTCATGGCTTGCGCGGCCACAGGCGCACGTGATCCTTGCTTACCTTCTGCAGCTCCACAAAGGTCTCCGTGTTCTGGATTCCGTTTATCCTGCCGATCTTCTCGATCACCACGTTGTGAAGCCGTTCCAGATCGTCCGCAAACACCATGACCATCATGTCAAACCGGCCGGTAACCTCCGAGACGGACAGTACCTCTGCAGTGTCCAGCAGCTCCCTGTGAATCTCGATCTTGAGCTTTGGATCGCGGTTGACTCCCACCATTGCCCTGACTCCGATTCCCAGAAGCGAGTCGTCGATCTCTATGGTAAACCTCTTGATCAGGCCCTTCTTGGTCATCCTCTTGATCCGGCTGTAGATGACAGACGGGTTGACATGTATCTTTTTGGAGAGAACCGGTACGGAGATCGAGCTGTCTGCCGAGAGCTCGTAGAGCAGCTGCATGTCCAGATCGTCAAAGCGGTGCATTGTCAATAATAGATCACCGAATGTAATAAGTGTAGATATATTAGTGTATAACTGCGATGTGTCGTAAAAACTTGTGTCAAAACAGACAATTAATGAAAAAATCTTCTACTACTCACCCCGCTGCCATCCCTAAACGATTTTAAATAGTCAAAAACGATGACCTGTCGTAATGGTAAGTGAGGAAGAGCTGGGCTCGATGATAAAGGAGGCCAAGGGCTCAGGCAAGGAGCGCAAGTTTACCCAGTCCGTAGAGATCATCATGAACTTTAAGGATATTGACGTAAAGAAGGGGTTTCAGATAAACGAGACGGTTCAGCTCCCAAAGACCACGTCGCCTGCCCGGGTCTGCGTAATAGCGTCCGGCGACATGGGCATCAAGGCAAAGAGCGCCAGCGCCGACCGGGTGATAGACACGGACGAGCTCAGCACGTTTGCAGAGAACAAGAGGGCCGCACGCAAGTTTGTCAACCAGTATGACTTTTTCCTGGCGGACACAAAGATGATGCCCACCGTGGGAAAGGCCCTGGGCCAGATTCTGGGACCGCGGGGGAAGATGCCCACGCCGGTTCCGTTCAATGCCCCCATCGAGGCATTTCTGGACAGGTTCAGATCGTCAATGCGCGTAAGGGTACGCGGATCACTGTCGCTCTCGTGCAAGATTGGCAACGAGACCATGGACGAGGCGGCCCTGACTGCAAACGCAATGGCGGTAATTGGCGCAGTGGAGAAGAAGCTTCCAAACGGTGACAAGAATATGAAGCGGATCATGATCAAGACGACCATGGGCGGCGCAGTAAAGCAGAAGATACAGACGAGGCGGAAATAGTGCACCAGAACAGAAGCACGTACCCAGAAAGGAAGACTAGGATGCACCAGCAGCTGCAGGCGACTCGAGGCAGATACAAGGTTCTGGCCCTGGTAAAGATGGACAAGGTAAGATCGTCGCAGATCCTGCCGCTGAGAAAGAGAATGAAGGGCGAGGCGGAGCTTGTAAGCATCAAGAACCGCATTGCAAGAAAGGCGCTGGAGGGCGCCGGCACCGGCGGAATCAGGCAGTTTGTGGACAATCTCACAGGCCAGTGCATGCTGGTACTCACAGACATGTCGCCGTTCAAGCTCAACATGCTGCTGACAAAGAACAGAATAATGCTGGCCGCCAGGGCAGGCGATACGGCCAGCGTGGATGTGGTGGTAAAGAAACAGAACACGGGCATTGCGCCGGGACCCATGCTGACCGAGTTCAAGGATGCAAAGATCCCCACAAGGATAGATCAGGGAACCATCTGGATTACAAAGGACACCATTCCGGCAAAGAAGGGCGATGTGATCTCAGGGCAGCTTGCGCCTCTTTTGACCAAGCTCAACATCAAGCCCGTGGAGGCCGGAATTGCCCTAGAGTACGCACTGGAGGACGACATGCTGTACGACAGGAGCGATCTAACGATCGACGTGGATGCGGTCCGCAACGAGCTTGCGCTGTGTCAGCAAAGGGCGCTAAACCTGGCGGTCGAGGCAGCCTATGTCACGCCTGAGAGCGTTGCAGCCGTGCTGGCAAAAGCGTCGCATGTGGCCAGAAGCCTGTCTGTAGAGTCCGGCCACATGACCGACGAGACGAAGGGCGAGGTACTGCAGAGGGCCCACCTGCGGGGCAGGGCGCTTGCAGGCAGCGCAAAAGGATACGCGCCGGCATAGCATGTGCAGGGCCGGCAGGCCATCTTCTGATATAGGGCGGATTTTACTGTGCAGCTGGCGCGTAGTTGCGTATGAAGCCAAAGCCACACTCACTTGCGCGCAGGCCTTTGCATCCAGACATGCCTTCGCGCCGAGTACGACAGATGGGTGCGCGCGCAGAGTCAGGATCTAGAGACGAAAAATTTCAGACGCGATGCGCTTATCCGAAGAGTGACGAGAGTCCTTCCATTGCGGACTCTTCTGCCTTGGAGTCGGCCTTTGGTTCCTTTTCCGGGGCCGCTTCCTTTGCGCCGGCATCATCCTGCGCAGGGGCTGCCGCAGGTGCCGCAACCGGTGCTGCCTTGAGTGCCTCGTCGATGTTAACATCGGCCAGTGCTGCAACTAGTGATTTTACCTGGGTCTCGTTTACGTCTGCTCCCGAGGCCTTTACCACGTTGGTAATGTTCTCCTCGCTGACATCCTTCTGAAGTTTGTGAAGCATCAGGGCCGCGTATACATATTCCATTGTAGCAAATCCGCCCCATGAGTAATATAAAACTAAGGATCAGCATTTCACGCCCGATCCGTGCCGAAACGCGCACGTCAGTTCAGGATCTTCAGGCTCCTGCATACGGAGTAGAGGTTCCGCTTCAGGTTCCTATCAAGCAGCGTGTCCATCTTCTGTCGCAGCGTTCTCTTTGCCGCATCACGCTCGACCCCCTGCGGCAGGGACAACACATTGTTTATCAGCTCCGGAAGATCCTCCCTGATCCATCCGTCCAGGTTCGAGTGGACCTTGGGCGGAATTATCTCTACCTTATCCTGTGACATGTCAAGCACCCCCGTAAAGCTGTCGTGTTCCACCCGGAATATCAGCGCATGTATGCAGTTCTCCGCGGTGGGGTTCTTCAGCACCTCCGCTGAGCGGACTCCGGCCTTGTCCTGGGCCACCTTGTTTTTGAGCCCCACGGGATCCACTACGACGCCATTTATGCCCATTCTGTCCCCGTCTACCCCGGTCACCACGCCAAAGACAAACCTTGCGTACTGGCCGTCCGGTCGGGGGGCAAAGACATGGGAGCCCTCCGTCATGGCTGGTTTTTTGCCAAACACGAGCTTGTTTTCCTTGGCGTACGTATTTAACTTGCGCCGATATTCGGCGGCTCCTGGTGCTGCAGGTGGCCAGGCGCCAGGTGCGTTCTTTAATTTTTTTATTCTGCCGCGGCGCAAGGCAGGACATGGCGCGCCTCGGAACCGTGGGACTGCTCTTTTTGGCGGCACTGATACTCGTGTCTGCCCCGGCATCGGCGTACGGGTGGAAGTCGCTCATCTTTCACCTGCAGGAGGACTGCATCGTGGACTGCAACCAGCGGTATGGGAGTCTGGGATCCTCTTCCCCCGCAAATGTAATCATAGTAGTGGCCGGCATGTTTCTGTTCTACAGCATGGGCAGACTGAAAAAGTTTGAGACCATCACCATGCGCTGCAGCAGCTGCGGCAGGTCAACCCACGGGCTCAAGTGCCCCCTCTGCAGCGCAGGCTAGGCTCCGGCGCGCAAAGGCGCCTGCGGGTCGGGCGCGCGGACTCTTCCTGAAATGGGCGCACATTCTCAAGCAAGGGCGGAGCTGATCCCGTGCGGCCGCGATCCTAAAATGACATAAGTATCAGATGATGCCAGTATAGACGAGGTGGTTTGGTGGAGATAGTGATGGGCAGGGGACCTGTGCATATTCTTCGCGAGTCCCCGTTTTATGTCCACATACTAAAAAAGTACCTAGCCTACAAGCTGTTTGACAAGAGGAGCCCGATATACGGCTCTGCGGACATCATCAACGTCTGCAACCTGCACTGCGAGCACTGCTACTGGTGGCTGAACAGGAAGGAGAACGACGAGTTGAGCCTGCAGGACTGGAAGAGGGTTATCGACGAGAAGTTCAAGAGGAACCACATCTTCATGGTCACCGTCGTGGGCGGCGAGCCGCTGATGCGAGGGGACGTGGTAGAGCTGTTTGCGGACGAGTTTCCAAAGCGTACCTGCGTGGTGACCAACGGGACATACCCGATTCCGCACCTCAAGAACATCTACTTTTACTGGGTGTCGATCGACGGGGACCAGAAGACCCACAACGAGATACGGGGCGACGGGGCGTGGCAGAAGACCAGGAAGAACGTGCTGGACTATGTAAACGGCAAGAAGAACGCCAAAAAGGACATATGGATTTCGATGACGGTGAACTCAAAGAACTACAAAACCATCCCCCAGGTGATCGAGGACTGGAAGGATCACTCCAACAAGATCGGCTTTCAGTTCCACACCCCGTTCATGGAGGGGGATCCGCTCTGGCTTCCGTTTGGCAGAGAGCGCAACGAAGCAATCAACTACATTCTTGAAAGGCAGAGTGGAGATCTGAAGGACTATATCGTGAACCCCAAGCACAATCTGGAGATTATGAGGGCCAGTTGGGGCGGAAAGGGCACCACGCCGATCGACTGCCCCACATGGGCCATAATCTCCGTGGATCATCGCGGAAGGGAGAAGATGCCGTGTTGCATCGGCAGTGCGGAGAAGGACGGAATGAAGCCGAACTGCGAAAAGTGCGGTGTCGGGTGCTACTCTGTCATGATGGGCTATGGCCTCAAGGGGTAGCCGGTGTGAATTGGCGCACCGCAGCGGTTGCGCCTGCCGCGCGTGGCCCTAGCGCGCTGGCACGTCAAAGGCCATCTCGCTGCCGTATCTCCGACGGATGTCGTCATAAAGAGCCTTGCGCTCCGGATCCAGGTTCCCGCTCCCGTCATACATCTTTGTGAAAAAGCACGCCAGCACACGCGCCCCCTGCTCGTCAAAGAACTGCACGCTGAAGCTGGTTCGTCCGGGTTTCTGCTCCTCTACGAACTTGGCCTTCCGGATCAGGTCGGCGTTCACATGCATATGACATGGTCCGTCATTGTCACCTATTGTTATCCACTTCTCTTTCTGTCTGATTCCCAGCGAGTTGCTGCGGATCTCGCTTACCGCTCCGTTGGATCTGACGATCAGCAGGACGTTCTGCACACGTATGACATCTGACAGGACACTTTGTAGCACAGATGACATGCCAGACAGCGGCTATTAAAGGGAATTATATAGTTAAGTGAACTGTCGGCGCCGCCACACTGCCATGGCTTCCTGTCATGGCCGATCATGCGGTCCGGCAGACCGGTCTTCCCGGTTCCGGACTGGCCGGCGACTGTCCCGGGTTTTCCGATGCCGGCCGGCATCCCGGGGCAGGCAGGAGCCCGGGAAGGCGGCGGCTTGGCCGCTCCTCTCACGCGGGCAAACGCCGGATCCGCATGGGGCGCCGTCCCAAACGGTTCCGGCATGCGCAAGGCGGCAACAGCATGCAAGAGCGGCCAAAACCCCGTCCTTTTCGGGCTTTTCCGTCCTGGGCGCCGTTCCGGCGCGGTGCCGGCGCCGCACCGTGGCGGCCGGAAACGCACCGGCAGGCGCGGCGGAAATGATGGATGTGACAGTGCGGACGGTCAGCATGGTCTGCACACTAATGATAGTGTTGTCGCGGTGTTTTTATGGGCACTTGGTATTTGCATGCGGTAATGAGACCCGTCATGGCAGAGGCAACGGTAGCAACGGCAACCGGGCCGGCAGGTGCAGCCGCAACCGCAACCCCAACAGCGGCATCCGCGGCGCCTCCAGAGCCAAAAAAGAAGTCAAGGCGCCCAATGGAGGGCACCATGATACGCAACATAAAGGTGGACTTTGACCAGTCGGCCGAGCTGTCAGATTTGATATCCCGCCACATGGACCAGCAGAGGTGGGCATACAACATGGCCGTACGCGAGAAGCTGAACGACCCGAGGGTCACAAAGTATGACCTTGACGGCATGCTCACGAAATGGAGGGACGAGAGGGAGTGGCTCGTCCATGACAAGGAGGCGCTGGCCGCGGGACGCAAGGAGGCCTGCAACAGCAGGGTGCAGCGGACCGGCCTCCGCCAGGGCCTGGATGCCGTTGAAAAGTTCATGATATCCAACGGCAAGAAGCGCCGCAACAAGTCATTATGGAAGTACCTGGCCAGGCGCCACAGGGAAAAGGAAGGGATACAGGACATCGACACAGCGCCCAACCTGCCGTCCAACAGGTGGAGCATCAAGAGGAACAGGTGGAGCCACACCAATGACCTGTTCAAGATGAAAGGGGAGCAGCTGTCACTCTCGGTGTTCGCGAAGCCGGTGCATAAAGGCAACAACATGGTGATGCTACCGGGAATCGGCACCGTGAGGGTGCACGGTGATGTGGAGGGTCTTGACATGCGATCATTCCAATTAGTGGAGACGACAAGGAAGACCACGAAACGCACCAAAAACTACCACAGGACGTACCGACTCCACATCCAGATCGAAATCAAGGCTCCCAAACCATCAAAATACGACACCATACGCGGCGTCGACATGGGCATAGTCCACGGCGCCGCCACCGTCGACCTCGGCACAGGCAACCACACGTTTCATGACCTCCCAAAAGACTGCAGGAGGGCCAAGAATGACGACATATCCAGGATGTATGCAGAGCTCTCAAGGAAGCGGGGGGGACGCGGGAACAGGCGCACCAAACATGACGCCAAGGAGGGCGCCGACGGCGGGAACGGCAACACGAGCGGCGGTAGCAACAGCACTAACAACACGAGCGGCCACAACAGGAACAGGCCGAGGAAGCCCAAGTCCCGCGGCTACAGGGAGCTCCAGAGGAAGATCCGCAAGAAGCGCGAAAAGCTTGCCAACCGCCAGACCAACTGGGAGCGACACGCGTCAAAGAAGATAGCTGACGGCGCCGGCACCGTTGCAATGGAGGACCTCAGCCTAAACAACATGACAGCCAAGGGAAAAGGCATGGGCAGCTCGGCCAAGACCGGGCTCAACCGGGAGATGGCCTATTCCAGGCCCGGAACGTTCCAAAGACAGATCGGGCAGGCATGCGCGAACGCCGGCGTCGCCGTCATAATGGTCGACCCCAAGGGCACCAGCATAACATGCGGCGCCTGCGGGCGCAAGGACAAGGAATCCCGCACATCACAGGATAGGTTCCGGTGCACCAATGACAACTGTTACAATGACATCAACGCCGACATAAACGCGGCGCATAACATTGCTGCCAGGGCGGAAGCCGTGGCGGCAGGGCGGCAGGGATTGTCGTCTGAAGGCGCGAGACTCCGGCGCGGGATTGCTCCCGCGCGTTCCGCAAACAACATGCGAGAGCCAAGCGTGGGAGGGATTGCAAGAACGCCACCAAAAGGCATGGGTACTGTACACTCATGTATATAATTCCCCTGTGAGTCTTGCGCATCCGAATAAAAGGCGGAAGGTCTTGCCGCAGTAGGTGCGCCAGTACTTCACTTGCCGTGGCGCGGCACCCACATGCCGGCAGACGCCATCCTAATGATGCCAAGGTCTCAGCATGCCGATCGCCGGGCATACTGATCCTGTGCTTCGATATGCCCGGGCTAGCCCCCGGTTGCCGCATCAAACAGGGCGCACTCGCACCTGTCGCGCTCGCCGCAGTACTGGCACTTGCAGTGGCAGTGAAGCAGCTGTATCTCGCACCGGTCGCAGCTGTCATACCCCTCTGCCCATACAAGTGATCTGGCAGTCATGCCGCCTCCGGGCACCACTCTGCCGGCAACAGCGTCAGGGTGGATCTGACATGCAGCATGCTACGGATCTTCCAGACTATGGTGCGCTTGAGTGACTCGGGGGTATCTGACTGCACACTAGCAACTATGTCGTACGCGCCGCTGACGCTCCGGACATCTGTCACGCCCTTCACATTCCTCAGGCTGTCAGAGACCTCCTCGCACTTGTACAGGTCGCAGTTTATGAGCACATGCGCCATGGGCCTTACCAGTATCTTCTGTGTTGACATATTATACTATACAGTATCAGGTATTTTAAGAGGATCAGCTAATAGATATAAACATATAAGATATTTACGAAAAGAACCATACAAGTATTAAGATAATCAGCTGTTTAGGCACATCGTACAAGATGCCATAACGGTACGCAAAAATTCGTGCAGTGTGTAAGCAGACCGTAAGACTTTGATACGCTCAAAAATCCACTTATGGAATCAAATCCTTCATGGAATACACTGTTTTTTTGACCAGTTGTGATCGATTCCAATAGGTGCTGGTCAATGTTCTGCACGAATTTACGATCGGCGCTATACGACGTCTCAGGGAGAGCCTCGTGGTGGTGTCACGCATGAAACCGCCGCATCACCATACCTGCCCCGGCCATGGCAGGATTGCTGACGGTATCCCGGAACCACAGGTGAGTTCGGGCCAAACCGGCAGATGCACGGTTTTTATCATACTGCCCCTAGGCGCGCAGCCAGTGGCAGTCGCAGTTGCAGCCCTGCTGGCATCTGACCCTCCTGCAGTCAGAACACAGCTTGCTCCTCCAGAACGACGCGGTGTTCATGCCATACATCCATTATTTTGTATAAAAGCCTGCAATGAGCAGGGTGGCCCATGTAAGGATCCAGGGAATGCGGCTGTTCCGGCGGCGCACCAAGGTATTGCCTGCCGCCCCATATCTGCAATTAGGAATTTCTTAATATCCGAAGATCCAAGAGTCCTGCAATGAGAAAATCCGATATTCTCAGGGAGTTCTCCGCGGATCCGGACAGGTACTACAGGGTGAATCTCTTTGAGGAGCAAGGGTTTGAACGGAAGAGGTGCAAAAGGTGCCGCAGGTACTTTTGGACGATGGATGCGTCACGCCGGTTCTGCCCTGACGACGCGCCGGACATCTACTCGTTCATAGGCCAGCCGCCCACCGCAAAGCGCTTTGACTACACAGAGGCTTGGAGGCAGGTCGAGTCGTTCTTTGTAAGAAACGGTCACACGTCCATAAGTAGGTATCCAGTGGTGTGCCGCTGGCGCGACGATCTCTTCTTCACCATAGCCAGCATAGTGGACTTTCAGAGGGTGATGGGCTCAAAGGTGGTCTTTGAGTTTCCCGCAAATCCGCTGGTGGTGCCGCAGACATGCCTGCGCTTTAAGGACCTGGAAAATGTGGGCGTTACTGGACGACACTTTTCCAGCTTTTGCATGATAGGTCAGTGCGCGGTTCCGGATCAGGACGGGTACTGGAAGGACCGGTGCGTGGAACTGGACTACCGGCTGGTAACAGAGCAATTCGGGATCCCCGGCGAGGAGGTCACGTTTGTCGAGGATGTCTGGGTAGGCGGCGGCTCGTTTGGATCCTCGCTGGAGTACTTTGTCCGCGGCCTGGAGCTGGGCAATGCCGTATTTACCGAGTTTCAGGGAGAGCTGGGAAAGCATACGACCTTGGACCAGAGGGTCATAGACATGGGCGCCGGCCTTGAGAGGCTGGCCTGGATCACCGCGGGCACGCCCACCGCGTATGACTGCTGCTTTGGACCTGTCATTGACAGGCTGTTTGAGATGGCCGGCGTGGATCCCGAAGCGGGAGCTCCGGTAGCATACTTTACAGAGATCGCAAAGGCGCTGGACAGGCTCGACCCGCGGGATCTGCGGAGGCGTGCGGCATCTCGTGCTGGAATTGCGGAGGATCAGATAAGCCGGCTGGTCGTACCCAGAGAGGGCGCGTACCTGATAGCGGATCACCTTCGAACCCTGATCTTTGCCATCGCCGACGGCGCCCTGCCAAGCAATGTTGGGGGCGGGTACAACCTGCGCATAATGCTGCGCCGCATAAGCGGAACCATAAACAAGCTGGGGATCAGGCCAGACATCCCGGAGCTGGTGGATCTGCACATCGACTACCTTATGAGGACGTACCCGGAGCTGGACGCCCGGAGGGACGACGTCAAGACGATCCTGGATATCGAGTCCAGGAGGTACGAAGAGTCAAAGTCCAGAATGGGCAGGATTGCGCACAGGATAAACAGGAAAGATCGGCCGCCTACCGTGGACGAGCTGATAACGCTCTACGAGTCGGACGGCATCACGCCGGACTACCTCATGGAGACGGGGGTCATCCAGGAGGTTCCTGCCACGTTCTATACCAGGCTGTCACAGCTGCACCAGGACAGAAGGGAGGGTGCTGCGGTGCATCTCCCACTGGAGGGGCTGGACGAGACTGCGGCACTGTACTATGCAGACGATCCCGCCACATTCGATGCCATGGTGCTGCGGGTGATCGATGACATGGTGGTGCTGGATCGGACATCGTTCTATCCAAGGGGCGGGGGGCAGGAGCCGGACCACGGGAAGATAGACGGCTTTGCGGTAGCCGATGTACAAAAGCACGCAGGCATCATACTTCACAGGCTGGAGGGGGGCGTGCCCCGGGAGGGCAAAACGGTTTCGTGCAGCGTTAACCAGAAGAGGAGAGCGGGCATCACAAAACACCACACCGGCACCCACATCCTGAACGCATCGTCCCGGAAGGTCCTGGGTTCCTGGGTCTGGCAGCACTCGGCTTTCAAGGAGGAGGATCATGCAAGACTGGACATTACGCACCACTCCTCGCTGACCGGCGAGCAGGTGCAGAGGATAGAGGATGAGGCAAACGCACTGGTAGGGGAGGACCGCCCGGTGACCGTGGAGAATCTTGATCGAGGATCCGCAGAGCAGAGGTACGGCTTTAGGATATACCAGGGCGGTGTCGTTCCCGTCAAATCGGTGAGGATAGTCTCGATCCAGGACCGCGACGTGGAGGCCTGCGGGGGTACCCATGTAAAGAGGACAGGCGAGATCGACCTCATAAGGATCACAAGGAACAAGAGAATCCAGGACGGCGTTGTGCGCCTCGAGTTCGTATCTGGAGAGGCCGCAACAAAATACGTAGCAAGGGTGCACAAGCAGGCAGCGCAGGACGCCGCAGAGGCCAAGAGCAAGGAGCGCGTACTCGCGGAGAGGGAGGAGCAGAGGAGCATGGCCCGGCAGGACATACCGGTGCTACTAGCTGGAATATCTGCCAGTGCCGAACCGCAGGAGCCCGGCCAGTGCCGCGTCATACGCACAAGTAGCTCCCGTTTTACCATAGAGGAGTGCGGGAACCGGCGGGCCCACCGCACCGGCATAGAGCGGTGGCGCACCGGCACCGGGTGGTTCTACTGCACATCAGACCAGAGATACGGCGAGCGCTTTCACATAAAGATGGGCAGGGACCTGATGAATGCAGAGCCTGGTTCGACATACTGCGGCCTGCTTGAGGCGGGTCCCACGGTCAGGATAATGGTATATGCGGGGGAGCAGGTAAGCGCGGACCGGTCGGCGGCTGCCATCGCCGAGGCGGCATCGCTGGCCCTCGGCGGTTCCGGTGGCGGCAACGCCTCATTTGCGCAGGGCGGCGGAAGGAACACATCTAAAATAGAGGAAGCTCTGGACATAGCAAAATCAATGGCTGTTGGGATGTAGATGCGCATAAACTGGAGCGACATAGAGGGAAAGTGGAGAAGGAGATGGCAGGAGGCCGGCCAGTTCGAGGCCGACACGGAAGACAGGCCAAAGAAGTTCATCACGGTGGCGTATCCCTACCCCAACTCGCCGCAGCATGTGGGGCATGGCCGCACGTACACGATAGCCGACATCCACGCCCGATTCTACCGCATGAACGGATACAACGTGCTCCTTCCCATGGGGTTCCACTACACCGGCACACCCATTCTGGGCATGGCAAAGATGGTAGAGGCAAAAGACAGGGAGCTGCTAAACGGCCTGAGGGACATATACCACGTACCCCAGAAGGAGATCGAGACCTTCGTCGAGCCGATAAGGATTGCCGACTACTTTCACGCAGAGATAAAGGCAGGCATGATAGAGATGGGCTACTCGATAGACTGGAGGCGGGAGTTTACCACCATAGACCCGGCGTACCAGAGGTTCATCGAGTGGCACATCAGCAAGCTCAAGGAGAAGGGCCTGATAATACAGGGCTCACATCCGGTCGGCTGGTGTCCGCAGGATCAGAACCCAGTATCGCAGCACGACACACTGGGCGACGTGGAGCCCGGGTTCACAGAGTACATGATGATAAAGTTTCAGTGGGAGGGGTACGTGATTCCCACCGCCACGCTAAGGCCGGAGACGATATTTGGTGTGACAAACCTGTGGGTAAATCCGGATACCACCTACAGAAAGGTGACGGTCAACGGCCAGAAGTGGATCGTGTCAAAGGAATGCGCGTACAAGATGGGGTTTCTGGGCATGAAGGTAACAGACGAGGGCAGCATCCCCGGCTCCCAGCTTGCCGGGGGTACGGCCACATCCCCCCACAACGGCGCCAAGGTTCCGATACTAGAGGCCGGCTTTGTGGATCCGAACACCGGCACCGGTCTTGTAATGTCTGTTCCCGCGCACGCCCCATTTGACTATCAGGCGCTAGCAGACTATGAGAGGGGCCGCCCCTACGTGGGCCGCCGCATCGAACCCATTCAGGTTATATCCACCGACGGATACGGCAGCGTCCCTGCCAAGGAGGCAGTGGAGAAGTCTGGCATCACCAGCCAGAACGATCCCCGGCTGGACGAGGTATCGGCCGAGGTGTACAGCAAGGAGTTTTACGGCGGCACACTGCTGCCAAATACCGGGCAGTTTGCGGGCAGGGAGGTGTCTGATGCCAAGGACGACATAAAGAAATGGCTCGCCTCCTCCGGATACTGCGATATACTGCTGGAGCTTGCGAGAACGGTAAGGTGCCGCTGCGGCGCCCAGTGCGTTGTAAAGATATTCTCGGATCAGTGGTTTCTCAACTATGCCGACGAGGGCTGGAAGAATATGGGCAGGGAGTGCATTGACGACATGAGCATACTGCCCCCCGAGATCAGGGGCGAGTTTCACAACGTGATCGGATGGTTACGGGAACGCGCCTGCGCAAGACAGCGCGGCATGGGGACAAAGATCCCATGGGACAGGAACTGGATCGTGGAGAGCCTGGCAGACTCGGTGATATACATGGCGTACTACATAATTGCCAAGTACGTCAACGAAGGGAGAATAGACGGCGCGGTCCTGCCTCCCGAGTTCTTCGACTATGTGCTCTTAGGCGCCGGAACCGCCGATGAGATTCCCGGGGTGCCGGCGGATGTGGCGGTGGAGATCCGCAACGAGTTTGCGTACTTTTACCCTGTGGACTCGCGCCACTCGGGCCGGGATCTGGTTCCGAACCACCTCACGTTCTTTGTTCTGAACCACGTGGCCACGTTCCCCCAGAAGCACTGGCCGCTACAGATTGTGGTAAACGGCTCCGTTCTGAGTGGCGGAAAGAAGATGTCAAAGAGCATGGGAAACGTGACACCGCTGAGGCAGGCGATCCGGGAGCACGGGGCGGATCCCATCAGGCTCACCATCATAATATCCGCCGAACTCCTGCAGGATGCAGAGTTCAACTTCGAGTCGGTGGCTGGAATCACCCGCAAGCTGGAGACGATGGTGGACGTGTGTTCGGGACTGAAGGGTCACGGCGCCGAACCTCCGGCCATGGTCCACGCAGAAGATCGATGGATCCTCAGCAGAATGCACAAGCTCGTCGCAGACATCACCGACAGCACAAAAAACATGAGACTCCGGGAGGCGCTTCACCACATTCTGTTCTCGTTCGAGTCGGATCTCTCATGGTACGCCGCGCGGGCAAAGGCCAAGGGCAGGTACGGAGACGCCGACTGCATGGGCATACTGCACCGGGTGTACACCGCCCGGGTAAAGATGCTCGCCCCCTTTGCGCCCCATATAGCCGAGGAGATGTGGGAGGTGTTGGGAAATCCAGGGATGGTGTCCCGGTCCGACTGGCCTGTCGCTCCTCAGGATCTGGACGACGCAGCTGTCCTGACAGAGGACATGCTTCGAGCCGCCGTAAATGACATCACGAACATACTCAAGGTTACAAAGATCACGCCGCGCCGGATCACGGTGTACACTGCCAGTCCCTTCAAATCAAAGGTGTATCGTGCAATACTGAAGATCATGGCATCGGGCCAGATCGCCATGGGCGCCATAATGAGGGAGCTGATAGAGGATCCCGAGATGGGTGGCATCAAGAGGCACTCTGACTTTGTTCAAAAGGCCATCAAGGATGTGCTGTCGGAGTCAGAGGAGATCAGGCGGCTCAGAGCTGAAACTTCGCTGGATGAGAGGCAGATACTTGCAGGCGAGCTTGGTGCCCTGGTCCAGAGGGAGTTTGGTGCACAGGTATCCGTACATGCCGAGGATGATGAGGATGTTTATGACCCAAAGGGCAGGGCTCGACATGCACGGCCGTTCAAGCCGGCTCTGCTCATAGAGTAACGGCGCTGGCACACCTGTATCTCTGGCATCTGCAGCCGAGGTGGCAGGTTTTGGGTAGCGGCCTGTGGCCTGGAGGAATGACACAATGCGGCTGCACATGCCCACACGGCAGAACCAGCCATGTCGGGAAAGGTGCCAAAGAGATACCGGGCCGGATTATGCATCAGGACGGCTTTCCTGCCGATCGGTACTCTTGGGTAACCCTGATTTCTGCTGCTTTTTTTTGTCCGCCTGAGCCGGTAGGTCACGGGACGAGTTGCGGTATGAGGGACGGGCTGGTCGGTCGCCGGACGATGGGCGCTCTGGCCGGTCACGGGACGAGCTGCGGTATGAGGGACGGGCTGGTCGGTCGCCGGACGATGGGCGCTCTGGCCGGTCACGGGACGAGCTGCGGTATGAGGGACGGGCTGGTCGGTCGCCGGACGATGGGCGCTCTGGCCGGTCACGGGACGAGTTGCGGTATGAGGGACGGGCTGGTCGGTCGCCGGACGATGGGCGCTCTGGCCGGTCACGGGACGAGTTGCGGTATGAGGGACGGGCTGGTCGGTCGCCGGACGATGGGCGCTCTGGCCGGTCACGGGACGAGTTGCGGTATGAGGGACGGGCTGGTCGGTCGCCGGACGATGGGCGCTCTGGCCGGTCACGGGACGAGTTGCGGTATGAGGGACGGGCTGGTCGGTCGCCGGACGATGGGCGCTCTGGCCGGTCACGGGACGAGTTGCGGTATGAGGGACGGGCTGGTCGGTCGCCGGACGATGGGCGCTCTGGCCGGTCACGGGACGAGTTGCGGTATGAGGGACGGGCTGGTCGGTCACGAGATGAGTCGCGGTTTGGTCGGTCGCTATACGGGGTGCGATTTGGTCGGTCACCGGATTCTGCACCGTCAGGATTTTTTGCATCTCGCCTCCTCTGCCCTATCCTAGCATACTCCTGCTGCTGCATCTCCTCGCGCTTGCCTGCCTCGCACAGCTTTATCTCTCCATTGCGATCATGTACGCACTCCAACACACTACTTGACAGGAGAAACCCCGACGCCATCAGGGCCTCGTCTTCTGTCATGCCAAGCTTGAACGCAACTGTCTTCAGTTTGGTAAAAAACCCCATGCGGGAGTTTCGAATTACAAAACTCTTGATTCGATCATCGGCACTCTCAGTCTTCCTTCTAGGACCCCTGTTGTCAAACTTTCTTCCAAACTGCTTTTTTGGTCTAAATGACAATAGATAAGAGATTATTTGCACTGTTATAAGCCTTAGAAAACATCGCTTGTGTGTGATCGCCTGCCACATCGAACCAGACATGTAGGCTCTGGAATGCGTGCCGCATGAGAAAGAAAAGCAGACGCCATACCGTCACCGCGCGGGCAAACAGAGACGACACTGTGGATCAGGATACAGATAGAACCTCACTTGAGAGTAGTCACAACTGACAATCAGTATTACTGATTTCCCGTCACGTATAGCGCCGATCGAAAGTTCCTGCAGAGTATATCGCTGGCTTCGATCACGTTTGTCTCAAACATGGACACCAGCCATTGACAATTGCCGCCTAATCCGTTCCTAATCTTGGCAGACATAACGTTCTGGTATGTGACTTTGCAGGGAAGCCTAACTGAAATGATTCGTGGATTCTGCAAGAACTTTTAGTCGGCGCTATAGTACCCACCGCCAAAGACGTACCCGTCGTGTAGAATCAGCATGGTGCGCTTGGATTCCACCTCGCCGGTGGCAGGGTTTCTAAAGTCATATACCATCCAGACCTTACCCTCTTCCTCCAGTGTGGTGCTGATTACATCCACAGATGGGTTCGGATCGAGATTAGTCATACGTAGAGAACCAACAAGAGAGGGATCCGCCACGTGGGCCAACACAGTTCCCTCCAAACCGAACACAAGCGCATAGTACTCGTCTGTGCTGGACACGGTCAGTGCATCAAGGCAGCTCTCATCACATATTGCAATTGCATCGGCAATTAACTGTCTTACCAGTTGTTCCTTGTCTGCATCGCGTTTTTCCTTCATGGTGTCATCCATCTCACCACTCATTGCATCTCTCAGGGTTGAAAGCAGAACCAAATCTATGCCGTGTTCTGTCAGGATTTCGACTATCTCGGTGTTAAGGCACAAAGGCGCAGCAGACTAACCGATGTGCGCCTTCTTGGATATCATGCCTGAATGTGAGCCATCTGTCATTTTGTCTTTCATGGAGTCTTCCATCATGGAGTCGCCTGCTATCGTCCTCCATCATGGAGTCAGAGGCCAGAAAGGCATCCCTGACGTACAGCGCTAGTGGATCGTTGCACTTGATTGCGCAGATAGAAACTCCGTCCCTCAGCTGCTACTGTGGTGGACTGTACATTCCCGATTCGGCAGGCACCGGGCTGCCGGACTCGCCGCAAAAGACAGATCAGCACCAAATTCCATCAGGGCACCCACTGCGTGTACGGCAGAGTCGTCCATAGGGTAGAGCAATTCCGTTTGTTGTGTGTACCGAGAAGATTATATATTGGTCATATTAGACATTTTATAATGGCAGCGAAACAGAAAGTGGCACCCATGGAATGCGATGATAGCATTGATTGGAGTGAAGTGGTGGGACTCTCCTGGATCTTTGAGGAGGATCAGTATCACACATCAGACTGATGTGCCCCACGTAGGCCCCCTGCCCACGAGTCATGCGCATCGCCACTTACACAACAAGTCAGGCGTGAAAACCTGTCCGCATGCACGAGCTCGCACCAAATAAGACAGAGCTGACATGGTACACATACAGGTGCGGATTTTTTATTTAACACCGTCCAGACAGCTGGACGTGCAGGATGTAGAAGAGATCATAGACGCAGGGCAGAGGTGCCTCAATCTGGGCAACCCAAAGGAGGCCCTGAAATACTTTGAGATGGCGCAGAAGAGATCCTGGTTGTCACCGCACCGATTGTGAAATGGGTTCTGATGCCAAGAAGGCCCCGGTACAAGATTCCGCCGAACTAGGCCGTCCTCCCCTTGTGAGAGACGGCCGGTTTTCCTTGGTTCTCATGAAGGCATGACAGCACCCCTCCATACGGCATGCCGGTTCCCAACTATACGTGATCCAAAGGAGGCCGCCCTTATGAGCGGGATGTAGATCACCGGCATGTGGCTCCGGCTTCCGGTTTGCCACCAATGGAAAAGAAGGCGAGAAGCGCAGGAATTGGCATCGGAGCAAGAAGACGCTCACCGGGGTGCCGCGATCTGCCGATCGGCAAGCTTTTCAGTTTTAGAGTGACGAACGATTGCAGTCCCACCACTCCCCCTGCCGGACAATGCTTGGCACGCCCGGGTCAAGATCTTTTACCGGAGTCTGGCATCACTAACTAAACGCCACTAGCGGATTCTTGGGGAATTTTTGGACAAGGCCACAGCATAAGAATAAATTATTCATGAAGATTATAAGTAAAAATCAGCACAATAACACATGGCATGCGACGATGGCATTGATTGGAGTGAAGTGATGGGACTCTCCTGGATCTTTGAGGAAGATCAGTATCACGCATCAGACTGACGTGCTCCGTGTAGGCCTCCCGCCCACGAGTCATGCGCATCGCCACTTACACACCAAGTCAGGCGTGAAAACCTGTCCGCATGCACGAGCCCGCACCAAATGAGACGGAGCTTGCACAACACGCATGCAGGTGCGAATTTTTTATTTAACACCGTCCAGACAGCTGGACGTGCAGGATGTAGAAGAGATCATAGACGCAGGGCAGAAGTGCCTCAATCTGGGCAACCCAAAGGAGGCCCTGGAGTACTTTGAGATGGCGCAGAAGATGGATCCCGAGAACGTCGAGATGCAGGTAAGGAAGGGCAATGTGCTTGGCAGGCTGGGAAGGTACGAGCAAGCCGTCTCGTGCTATGACCGTGCCCTAGAGCGCAGTCCGGACAACATTCTGGCATCGGTCAACAGAGGACTGGCGCTGCACTTTTTGAAGAGATACGACGAGGCGGTATCACAGTATCGGGAGGCACTCGCCATAAAGCCGGACAGCGCCCTCATACTTTACAGCATGGCGTCAAGCTTGGTCATGCAGGGCAGAGCGGATCGCGGGCTGGAGATCCTGCAGAGGGCGGTCAGGCTCGACTACACATACGGCATCAAGGCAAAACACGACATGGACTTTGAGAAGATGTGGCAGAAGCGCAGGTTTCAGAAGATCGTCCGCAGGTAGAGCGTGTAGTATATGGAAATTATGTCCGCTAGTCATTGGAGTCTGCCTCCATCCATTTTGGGTCTTTTTTCCTGATTGCTTCTGTTGCCTTTTTGGTAAAGAACGCCTTGAGCGGGGTCTCGTAGTTGTCGATGTCCAATGAAAAGTGCAGTCTTCTCTCGTTGTATAGCCACACGCCAAAATTCGTGCAGGGTGTAAGCAGGCCGTAAAACGTTGACGCGTTCAAGAATCTGATTATAGAGTCAAATCCTTCGTGGAATACACTGTTTTTTTGACTATTTGTGATCGATTCTAATAGATGCTGGTCAATGTTTTGCACGAACTTTTGCGTGTCGCTATAGTACTCGATATATCTGAACAGGCTCTCGTAGTGAAAGATCTCCTCCTCTATGCTTCTGTGGAACCGTTCCAGCTTGCCGTTTGTCTGCGGGTGGTACGGCCTGGAGTTGATCAGCTCGATGCCCCTGTCCAGGAGCTCGCTCTCAAACGCGGTCGGCTGCCAAGACCTTTTTGGCTCATTTCTGCGAACACCGACAAAACAGGACCCGTTGTCCGAGAGTATCGTGGCCGGGTTCTGAACCTTTTGATTGCCTACCGGAGCACTGCCACGGCGTTCTCCGATGTGGCCTCCGTGAACAGGGCTACCCCGGTCACGCACCTGGAGGCATCGTCAAGAAACGTTATCAGTAAGTGTTCACGTCATTTAGGCGTGTTTTGCCACTATCCAAGGGCAACCGTGCCTGTGATCCCCGCATAGTTGAAGATTTCTAGGCGCTTCGGCGCACGATCACGCTTGCCTGTG